ACAGGTGAACCAGTACAGGTGAGACAGAAACAGGTGAGACAGAGCGAGGAGGTGTTGATGACGGGTCGGTACCTGTGACGGAGGAGAACCGAACTGAAACTGTTTCCTCTTCAACTGTGACTCTTTGAAAAGCTACGGATTCAGAAGACAATCAGTCAGATGGAGTCGCTGCAGAGCTCAGACGAGGATTAAAAGACGAGCATCAGTCCACTAACGAAGCTCAGACCTGAGAGGGTTAGGCCTGAGTTCTGACTTCACTCAGAGTTTCACTTTGAGTTCAGTAGTTTCATGTTAAGACGAGACTCGGACGTGTTTTACTTCCATCGTGTCTTTTCTCTGTGTTCATGACACTGTCACATGTACAGAAGTTAATGCATATCTAGACATATATATATAATACTTCATTTGCATATATCTGTTGGTTAATATATTTATATATACATATATTAATAATATAACAGTTTACAATAAAAATGTTTGGAATAAAAAAAATCTTTTCAGAAAGTTATTTTTATCTCCCTTTTAAAAATTGATTAATTAAAAAACAAACTTTTTAAAAACATTTTTATGACTTTTGATAATATTTTAGGATATTCCTTTCATTTCATTAAAAAAATAATCATTTAAAAACACCTTTGAAGAGACGTGCGTATGAATGGATGAGCATTCTGGGATATTTCTTTCTGTTCCTCTTTAGCAGTTTTCTTTTACTAAACTTTTCCAGTTTTATTTCTGCCTCATGTCTGATCTGGAAGTGAGAAAACGCCTCACAGTCAGATTTAATATAGAAACTAACGGTCCTATTGGGAGGAACCAGCTGGTCCAGTTAAAAATCTGACCAACTGTGTCTCGACTTTGATTTAAAAATAAATCCAATTTAAAATGTCAGAATCCAATGCTAACTTTATTATCATAAACAAGAATTTGACCTTTTTGCCAGAAAAAGTGAAGTCAGAATGTGATCCTGAAGAGTTTAAACCTGAAACTCTTCAGTCTAATAATGCAGATGTTCATCCTAATCCTCGTCTGTACACCTGCTTCTGTGCAGGTTACACCTGCAGAACAGTGCTGGCGTTGAGGTGATGTCTGAGTTACGAGGTGAGAAGATGAAATAAAATGATCACACGGTTATTGGTGATGACGGTTAAAGTTCGATGAAGATGATTTCATGTTTAATGTCGATGAAATACAGAAAACCACTGAATCAAACTCAGACGCCGGTTAGTGCGACGGCCGGGTAAGTTTTGTACCTTCGACTTGAGTTCTCTCCTCGTAGTGATAAAACTCGGAGGAATCTTTTGGCAGAAGAACAGACGTGTGAGTGCTGGAGCAGCGGTGGAGATTATTCAGGTGATTTAGGCTCAAACTGTCCCAGACTCACCTGAGCACACCACCAGAGACGCTGCTTCTGGGACAAGAACCGACGAATCAGGGACGTCTGAAGGGTCGGCCACAGATACTTCAATTAACTTCCAAATTATTTAAGACTTTTGTTGTGACAGTAAAACTTCACATCTCTTCGATTTCAGTCACCAGTTTGTTAAAAACCTGGTTTTAACACTGGACTCAGTGAAACCCTGATTCAGAGCTGCTCAGTTTTACCGTCACTGACTTGCTGAGGTTCAGATGAAGTACTCACCCTGAGGAACCCCTGCTAACCCAATCTCTGAAAGAACAAGGTGGACAGGTGTTATAGCAGCCGACTGACAGGAGCGTCTGTACCTGCTGACTGACAGCTACACACCTTTGCCCGACAGGTAAAGCTCGGCGCTGCTTCGAGCTTCTCCCATCGGCTCCAGACGAGCGATCACCGAGTAAACGCCTGCCGGTGGAGACAGCATGAGGGTTTAGTTCAGACCAGCGTGGCCTGGAGGCTAACCGCTAACATGCTAACGATGGAGGATGTGTTATTGAGTGAGCAGATGAACATGAGGCTCAGAACGGGTTTGTTTCTCTGGTTCCTTCCCACTGACACCGACTGCTGCTGATCCAAAGGGAACCTGTTGGTTCTCGGCTATGACACGATGTGTGCTCGGAACTGGTTCTATAGATTAAATGGAATTGAACTGAACAGATAGAAGCAGGTTCAGTTTATATCCGACAACAGCTTCAGTAGAACTGGACTCAGTGAGCCAGAACCAGAACCAGAACCACATCAAAACAGAACATTTGTTTGAAGGTTTGTAAGAATCTCGTGACTTTATGACAAAAAACTTCAGATTTTATTTGATCAGTTTCCAAAAACATGTTAAAAATATTCTTTTTTTTTTTAAGTTAAAATTCTGTGACTTTTGTTCATTTACTGATTTTCAGTCATTTCTAGACGCTTGTGAAACTCTTGTTCTACAGATGATCCTATTTTTTGAGATTATTCAGACGTTCTATTGATTTTCTTGCATTCTTGAGACGAAGTCAGAAAGTCTCAGTAAACATCAGCTTCACAACCAGATGAGCGGTTTGATGCTGTCGCTGTCTTCTTAGAAAATCGTAACAACGAGAAAACGTCTCAGTACGACTGTAACTGTGGAACGCTGTGACTCTGTTCTGCTGGTGGAACTCATCAGAGATGGTTGTTAACATCCACTAAGATCAACCAGTGAGTTTGTCCTCTGTCTCTCCGTGTGGTTTGGTTTTTCTGCACATTTGATTTGGTTGTTTGGCCTTTTTAGCCTTTACTATAGCTGACAGTGGAAATATGGGAGAAGAGCTCCCTGCAGTAAATGGGCCGGACCCGAACCCACGACCTCTGCGTCGGGGACTACAGTCCTGATCGTGGGTCGCCCGCCCAACCTGCTGAGCTATCCGGTGCCCCAAAACTAATTTTTTAACATGTAAGCGTTTTTAAACATCTTCAGCTACCTGCTGGTGTTTGTTGAGTCAATAAAATTCTTTTGCTGTGCAGCACAGAACCGGTTGTTAATATTCACATAATGCAAAATGCCTTTGATTGTCCATCTCTAAGTGTTTTTTTCTTGAGTAATTGAAAACACAGAGAGCTCTGAGAGGTTAGAATCAGTTAGAAACGTCTCCAGAGGTTCACAAACCTTCGTCTTCTGCAGCTACGTTGCGGATCGTCATAAAGTGCCGGCGGCCTTCGGTCCTGAAGTTATATTTTGGGCTTTCTTTAAGCTCCCACGAGCCTTTGTACCATGAGACGATGGCGTTGTCGAAGGACAACTCGCACTCGAAGGTGGCGCAGTGGCGTTCGTTGACCTCGATGCTTCGGATGGATTTAGTGAACTGAATTTGTTCGGCTAAAACCAGACAGTCACAGTCAGCGTCCGACTCATGTTAGCTTACAACGACTGTTCTGATCTGACCCTGATATTCACGTGTTTGTGGTCGTTATAGTTAACATTAAAGAAAACGTAAGAGAAACACAGAAGAGAAACACAGAACACAAAAAGGAGAGCAGGACAAGAACCAGCAGGTTCAAAGAGGTCAGTGAGGCGTCCGTCTGGGTGGTGAGGCTTACCTGCCCCGGAGGCAGCTCCTGACAACCACATAAAGGAGTCGGACACGAGGACACGTACAGACACGAGTCCGGCAGACGAGACACCAAGTTCGGCGCTCGGCCTCTTACCTGTAACGGTCAGCTTGGCGTTGGAGATGTGAGGACCGCAGACCACGCGGTAGTTTCCCTGGTCTTTGGTCTGGCAGTTCTTGATCTTCAGGTAATGGCGGTCGCCGACGCTGCTGATGTCGTACTTGTCGCTGTTGTCCAGTTTCTGCGTTCCCTTGTACCACGTCAGAGCGATCTCCGGGTAGTTGATCCTGATCTGGCACTCAAAGGTGGCGCTCTCGGTCTCAGAGGCCGTCTGGTCGGTGATGTCCTCCAGCACCGAGACGGGCTGAGGACCAACAATCCTGTTAAACATTTCCCCATACATGGCTGTCTGGAGCCTGAGAGGCTTCAGGCAGCAAGCAGACGACTTTCTTCATCAAAGCACGTGTTCATAATGTGGTCAGTTATCAACAACAATGAATCAGTGAGTGAGTGGTTTACCATCTACAGCACAAAAACTGAATTGTGTGCATTCAGCTAACCAGTGTTACTATTCATACTTGCAGTAAACATTTTTCTCACAGAAAGATTTAAAAGGCTCTGTAACCGAACACGGAATCAGCTGGAGCCCTGCATGCTGATCGATTAACTGATAATCATTCACATCCCTATTTTCCATGTCCGCTGGTGCAACATGCAGCTGTCAGGTGGGCTGTTTGAATTCATCAGTCTGAGGAAATCGTTACCTCTGTGCCGACGCGACCCTCCAGCTGCTGGATGAGCCGGACCATGTCCTCCTCTTCAACCCGACCTCCATGTTCCACCTCCTGCAGCAGAACACGTGACTGTTACAGCATCCAATACACAGATTTATCCACCAGTGTGCAAATGTGTAAATGGAACACACCTTCCACAAATTCAATACAACCTTCGGAAACTCTTTAAAGATATTACAAACACAAAACTGATCTGCAGGTGACCAAAGACGGTCCAATAAAAACACATTCATTTCATTTCCCACTGAAGTCCTGTCACCAGGTTAAGTGTTGGTCTTACCGGCCGTCCGGTCTCCATCTCCTTCTCCCTCTTCAGGAACTCGACGGCCTGCAGGATGGCTCGGTAGTCGTGAATGTTGTGTTCTCGAAGGATCCTCTCGTAGTCTTTGGGGTCGTGACCTCTGAGCAAGTCCACAATATCGACATCCTCATCCTTTTTGGGACTCTTCTGCTTGGACGGAGTTCTGACAGACATCAAACACATCATCAGACATGGTTTTCCTCTGCTCAGCAGAACCAGAGATGTTCCCTGGTCCCTCCAGGATGGCGCCTACTTGGTATGACACAGAAAAACAATTGTACATAAAAACAGTATGATCCAGCACAGTCTTACTTCTTCAGCCTGGTCCTTAGGTCTCCGAGTCCTTCGGCCTCCTCCTTTTTGCTGACCTCGATCTCAGCACCGCACTCGATCTCACCGTGTTTGTTGGTGGCAACACACCTGTAGAGTCCAGCGTCGGACTTGGTCACCTCTCTGATCTCCATCTTGGCGTCCTGGCCCTTGTGCTCGATGGAGATACGACCACCGGGGGTGATCTGCCTCCACTTGCCCTTCATCCACTTCACACTGGGGATCGGGTCGCCCCCGATCTTGGCGATGAAGGTTGCGGTGCCCTCTGCAAAATAAATGAAACATGCAGTGTCACGGGGCTGCATGGTGGATCGGTGGTTGGCACCGTTGCCTCGCACCAAGAAGGTCGCCAGTTCCCATGGATGGATGGATGGATGGATGGATGGATGGATGGATGGATGGATGGATGGAATGTCACATGAAACTTTACAGTGTTGATGTAAAGGTGAGAAACAGTCAGAAGTCCTTACTTTCTGTGACAGAAACGTTCTTGGGTTCCTCGATGAAGAACAGGTTGTCGAGCCTTTTGACCGGAGCGGCTGCAGCTGGGGCAGCAGCCTCGGCGGTGGCGGTCTTGGCTCCTTTGTCTGCAAAAATATCATGGTGGTGAATGTAAGGCTCACTTCAGCATCGGTTCTTCTGTTTTATTAGTGTGATGAAGGGATGACATCAGCTGGTTGAAAACCAACCAAACTGCAGCACCGATTGACTGATAGAGTGGAAGACCGTTACAGATGGTTGAAAAGCACCACAAACTGATGACTTACCTGTCACGGTGACCCTGGACTTGCAGAAGTCACTGCCGTTGGCGTTGCTAGCCTTGCAGAGGTAATCTCCGGCATCAGTCTTCGAGACCGGGCTGACCTCCAGACATGCCGTTCCACCAACAAACGTGATTCTGGTGTTTCCGCTGGACTTCAGCTCCCTCCTGTCCTTCATCCACTGGATGTTCAGGGGAGGAGAGCCGCCGACGTGGCATTTAAGGCTCAGCTTCTCCCCTTCGCTCACCGTCATCGGCTCCAGAGGAACGTCAAATTTAGGAGCCTGGCCAGATTCTGAAGAAGTGGAGGGAAAGAGGCCACAGTGAGCTGATGCTTGTTTCTGTGACTCAGTGTCGTAGACATTAAACTGCTGCTCAAGATCCAGGTCCAGTGTTCAGACTGAGACACCTGGATGGATGTAGAACTGATCTGGTGTCAGGTTCTAGCAGAACCCAGATGTGTTCTTCCTCCTAAATGTCATGTGTCTATCTGCTGTACTGATGAAGTTCTGAGGCTCAGAAATGATGGAAAAAGTCCATTAAAGTGATCAATCTGGACCCTCCTCTGAGGACTTCAAGGACCTGGAACTCTGGAACATTCACAGTCTGAAGGTAGAACTGTGGTCAGTAGATAAAGGTTCTGCAGATTCAGAACCAGGTGTTCTGAGTTCATTTTATGGTATGTACATGAAATGACCCACAGGCATGTTAATATGGATGGAGATTGGTTTTATTAACTTGTTTCCAAGTATCTTTGTGGACGTAGCCTCAGTTACTGGTGGCTTCGATCCAAATCCAGAGACCCAGAAGATTTAAAATGGACCAACTGCACTAAGACAGACAACATTAAATCCAGCTGATTGGGTCGTGAAGGTTCAAAAGAACTGCTTTCAGATAAAGGATTAATGGAGACAAAACAACACACTCGTACCTGAGACGCTGAGAGAAACCCGGCATGAAGCTTTGCCAGCTTCGTTGGAGGCCTCACAGGTGTACAAACCGCTGTCAGAGGGGGCGGAGTCTCTGACGCTCAGCATGGCCAAGTTGTTCTTGAAGCTGACCTCATATTTGTCGGAGGCGGAGATCTGGTTGTTGTCCTTGAACCAGGTGACGGTCAGAGGCTGCGAGCCAGACACCCGGCCCTCCATCTTTACTGTCTTGCCGACTGAATCCATCATGGACTCAGAAGGCCTCTTGGTGAAGTTTGGAGGGACCTTACGCTCTGTTAGTGGGGAGAAAGTGAAGGAAATCAGGCCAAGCAGAGATGTAAAGAAGGTTCGAAATCTAAATATCCTTCAGCAGGCCACTGGGCCTTGACCACAGCATCATGGAAACAATGCAGCACAACACATAAGACAGCAAACAACAACCTGCAACACATAAGCAAACAAATACAGAATATCCACCTGATGAACAAACGTCTCTACCTGTAAGCACATCTGACCGGAGCTACATGGATGTCATGCTCTCACACCTCTAACACCCTACAAAGTCGTGTTCCTTACAAACCTGCCGACCACAGGACGAGCCAACCTCTAACACAACAACAGCTTGGTCCAGGACTTTACAGGACCTCCTCCTTGTTACCAACAAGCACATTACCACAGAAATGATGACTGCACGAGAGGTTAGTGACTGAACCACATGTGAGAAGTGAGACGAGATGGAGGGATGTGTTGGTTAGCGTGTTACCTATTTGAACATGAGCATGACAGGTGTCAGTTCCCTCAGCATTGGCAATTTCACAAGTGTATTTCCCAGCAGCAGTGGCTCTGTCGCTGTAGAGGACCTCCAGAAGGCAGGAGGAGTTGGTGGTTTTGACGTTGTACTGGTAAGAAGCCCAGATGAGCTTGTCATCCTTCTTCCAGGTCACAGAGACCCTTTGGCTGCCGCTGTAAGTGCATTCCAGTCTCAGGGGTTTACCCAGCTCATGGGCCACGTCCTCCAGCTTCTTGACAAAGCGAACGGGTTCTGAGAGAAGCAATGTTCACATGAGTCACAGAAACCACTGATGTCTACATGCGGACGACCAGAGACTATGAAACTGCGCAGATCCTTGGATGTCTCCATGGGTAGAGGCAGAGCTTTGTGAGCTTCATTCATGCATTAGTGGTTATCTCTGGTATTATTCACTTCATGCATTAACTGATTGGCGAGCACTACGAGCTCAGTGCTGCGGTTAGTGTTACCTAGTGTGACATAAGCATGGCAGATATCGGAGCCTTCAGCGTTGGAAATTTCGCAAGTGTATCTTCCACGAGCCTCCTCTCGGTCACTGTTCAGGACTTCCAGCATGCAGCTGCAGTCTGTGGTCTTCACATTGTACTGGTACGAGGCCCAGATCGGCCTCCCGTCTTTCTTCCAGCTCACGTTCATTCTTTGGCTACCAGTGAATGCGACTCTAAGCGTCAGCGGTTCGCCAACTCTGAACGTGGTGTTTTCCAGCTTCCTGACGAAGCGAGCAGGTTCTGTGAGGAGCAGTGATGGTTGTTAGATGCAAAGGTGATGAGGAGCAAGCAGAGGTTATAATTACAATTCAAACTTGAATCTGTAATTATAATTATTGGATGACAATCCGTTAACCTTAACTGAATTATATGAGGAGGAGTATTAGATATAGAGAGCCAAAGTCCCACCAGCTCCTGGGCCAACATGTGTTTCTACGCTGCACAGTAACCTGATGAACGGTTCTGACAACAGTTAGATTGTCAGAGTCCATGTGAACCATCCACATGTGGCGCAAATGGGTCTCATTGCTCGGACTGAAGTGGAGCAGATTTTACGCAGCCAATATGTGCAAACACATCTTCCAATGTCGTGCACGGATTCTATTATGTCTCCCACTTATGAACCCGCAAATTCTTATTTTCTTCCTCTAACGTGTCCGAAATATGAAAGAACAACATCCCGTTTGAAAGCTGTGCAGCAAAAGCGACTCGAAGCGAAGCTGGTCTGGGAGCAGAGGAAACTTGTGCTTTCTATAACTTTGCTTTAGCTAATGTTTGATGTTAGCGCTCAGGATGAGGTGAGGTTATACCTTTCTTAGAGGTTTTGCAAAGTACATAAGCGTCGCAGATGGCTGAACCTTCTGCGTTAGAAACTTGACACGAATAGAGTCCGGCCGCTTCCTCTCGGTCACTATTGAGCACTTCCAGGACGGATGAGGAGTTGGTGGTCCTGACGTTGTATTTATATGAAGCCCAGATGGGCTTTCCATCCTTGGTCCAGCTCACGTGCACTCGCTGACTGCCGGTAAATGTGCACATCAGACTCAAATGATGGCCCAGACAATACGACGTGTCTTCAAGCTTTTTCACAAAGCGCACTGGTTCTGAGAGAAGCAACAGCGGTGTTAGTCATGTAATGAAAGCTGACCTGTTAGCAAAGCAGTGAATGAGCATGTTAGGGGCAGTTACCTAGTCGCACATGAGCATGACACAGAGCACAGCTGCTAGCATTGGATATCTCACAGGAATATCTGCCAGCAGCCTCTTCTCTGTCACTATTGAGAACTTCCAAGACACAGGAGCTGTCTGTGGTCTTTACGTTGTACTTATAGGAAGCCCAGATGGGCTTTTCATCTTTTCTCCAGCTTACATACACATGCTGGCTGCCGGTGTACGAGACCTGCAGCCTCAGAGGCAGGCCAACCCTAAAGGTCATGTCTTCCAGCTTTTTCACAAAGCGCACAGGTTCTACAAGGGGCAAGACGTTAGCCGTTAGTTTGAACTGCTGAGAGAGACGAGTGAGGTTATGTGATACAGAGTTAGCAGGAACCTTCAACACTACAGCTGAGGCTCATTGAGTTCAGTCTGTGATCACTTCTGCAGCATGTCTGACTGCCAGCGGCTTCACTTCCATTACGTTCACTTTAGAAATTTGTCTCACAAGTCAAATCACAATATCCATCCAAAAACTTGTAATTAGATATTTTCTGTGCAGAGATGAAGAACAATGTTCCAGAGTCCAAAACACAGGAAGTGCCATTTAAATAAAAGATTTTTTCAAAATATTCATGCTGTTATTATTTTATCCTCTTAATTTTTCAAAATCTCAGGAAGTCAAATGTGACAAAAAAATCTGTTTACTTTTAAAGAATACTAACAAACTAGACGAAGCAGAGAGTCCCATCATCAATAAAACTCAGACTGAAGAGAATGAGCCCTTCCATGATCCTTCCTGTTTACCTAGTTGGACCTGAGCAGAGCAGACAGCAGTATTCTCAGAGTTAGAGATCTCGCAGGAGTATCTGCCTGCTGCTTCCAGCCGGTCGCTGTTCAGGACCTCCAAGACACAGCAGTTATCTGTGGTCTTGACGTTGTACTTGTAGGAGGCCCAGATGGGCTTGCCGTCCTTTCTCCAGCTTACATAGGCTCTGGGGCTGCCACTGTAAGCACAGTACAGCGACAGGGGCTGGCCGAGTCTGAAAGTCGTGTCTTCCAGCTCCTTTGTAAAGCGCACAGGTTCTACGGGAGGCAATGTTGGTGTTAGCTGCAGGTTATTTAATGTTACAGCAAGTGAACGCACATTTCTGTGAAAGGGCTGAAGGGGTTATGTGGAAAATGTGACTGTTGCCCCTCCAGTTCTATAAATGAGCTAAAATCAGCAGTAATGATGGTGCTGGGCTGCGTTTGTTAGTGGCTTTACCTATCTTAACCATAGCATGGCAAATATCAGTGCCCTCGGAATTGGAAATCTCGCATGAGTATTTCCCGACGGCTTCCCGCTGGTCACTGTTGAGAACCTCCAAGGTGCTGGAGAAGTCGGTGGTTCTGACGTTGTATTTGTACGACGCCCAGATGGGTTTGCCGTCCTTCATCCAGCTGACATAAATCCTCTGGCTGCCGGTGAACTTGCACTCCAGCGTCAGAGGATGGCCGATTTTATAGAAGGTGTGTCTCAGTTTTCTCACAAAGCGAACAGGTTCTGAGGAATCAGTGAGCAATGATGGGATTAGAGGGTGTAAGCAATGGTGTTCAGCCTTTGGTTACATGACACATGATGGACATGCACATGATTCACATGGTTTTGTTAATCCCTGTAAGGACATAATGAGGTGAGTGGTTATGGTTGTTACCTAATTTAACATTAGCATGGCAGGTATCGCTCCCTCCAGCGTTAGAAATTTCACACGTGTATTTTCCAACAGCTTCTTCGCGGTCGCTGTTGAGGACTTCCAAGATGCAGGTGTCATTGGTGGTCTTGACATTGTACTTATACGATGCCCAGATCAGTTTGCCGTCCTTCTTCCAGGTCACATTCATTCTCTGGCTGCCGGCGTACGTGAACGTCAGAGTCAAAGGTTCACGGAGTCTGAAATATGTGTCTCCCAGCTTTTTCACAAAGCGCGGCGGTTCTGAGAGGAGCAATGGTTGAGTTATTTGCACGTAGCACACATTATGTCATGCAAGCAGGCAGGTAATGCACCAACTGAGGTTGTTCTATTAGTCCGAGATGAGCCTACTGAACAACAGCAGAGGGCCACTGTTGTCAGCGGTTAGTGGGTGAACTGAAAGCAGATGGTGTGTTAAGAGTTTGTGATTTTACCTAAGCTGACACGAGCGTGGCAGACGTCGCTTCCAACATCGTTGCAAATTTCACAAGTGTAAGTTCCAGCTGCTTCGGGCCTGTCGCTGTTGAGGACCTCCAGAACACAGGTGGAATCAGTGGTTTTAACGTTGTACTGATAAGAGGCCCAGATCAGCTTGCCGTCCTTTTTCCAGGTGACGTTAACCCTCTGGCTCCCGCTGTACGCACAGATGAGTTTCAACGGCTGACCGACTAAGAAAGTAGTGTCCTCCAGCTTCGTGATGAAGCGCACAGGTTCTGAGAGAAGCAATGCTGATTTTAGAGACGTGCTCATTGTTATGATGCCATGCATTAAGCCCTAGGTCACAGTTAATATAGCTGTCATCGATGACGTGTAAAAGCACTGAGCGATAGATCAGGACAAGGCTACATTCACCCAGGAGCTGTGTTTTCCTCCAGAGGTCAACTTTAGATCAGTTTCATATAATCAAAAGACAATAATTATGAGTTCTTCTTATGAGTTATTAAAGTGGAAAGAATCGACCGTTAAAACTTAAATCACAGCAGGATTCATGAATGTAGAAGAAGTAACTATGGAAACAAGCATCACCTTTGACCGTCACGTGACAGCTGGCGGAGGCAGAACCGACCCGGTTCTCGGCCTGGCAGACGTATTCACCGTGATCGAACTTGGACGTTTTGGTCAGTTTCAAAGTGGCAACACCATTTGCAAAGTCTGTTGAACAAGTGTTGGACTTGCGCAGCTTCGCGTCAGCTTTGAACCAACCGACAGAGATGTCAGGAGTTCCTGCAACGCGGCATTTCAGGGTAACTGCGTCACCCACGGTTACCGCCACCGGCTCCATCTTGTCGACAAAGTATGGTCGCTCTAAAGTCAGAGATGATGGTGAGGGTTTAGTACACTACAGATGTTGAGGTGTGGATGAACAAACCAGAGTGAATGAATGAGTGGATGAATGAATGATCATGAAACTCAACACAGTACCATGCACGTGTTACTCATTTTACCTAGAATCGACACTTGTGCTTCGCATCTGTCGCTTCCCACTCCGTTGTCTACTTCGCAAGAGTATCTACCGGCTGCCTCCAACCTGTCAGAGTTAAGAACCTCCAGGATGCAGGAGGTGTCTGTGGTGATCACATTGTACTGATACGAAGCCCAGATGAGTTTACCGTCCTTCTTCCAGGTCACATTCACTCTGGGGGTTCCAGCAAATGTGACCTCCAGCCTCAGAGGTTTACCCTTTTCAGAGGAAATGTCCCTCAGCTTCTTCACAAAGTGGACTGGTTCTGAGAGAGGTAATTCCATCGTCAGTTACATCAAATTCACCTTCGGATTTGGTTAAAGAAAGATGTGCATCATGCTAACCAACCTTTCACAAACAGATAAACTGGGCAGCTTTCCTTCCCTGCACCATTAATGACCTGGCAGGTGTATTCTCCTGCGTGGGACGTTTCCACCCTGTTCAGCACCAGAGTGGCCACATCCTCCTTCAGGGTGATGTCGCAGCCTCGGCCCTGCAGCATCTCTTTGGGTCCCCTGAACCATTTTACCCTCAGGGGGGCGCTGCCTTTCACCTTTGCCGAGAAAGACACATTTTTGCCGGGCAATGTTTCTCTGGCCTCGGGCATTTCCACAAAAGATGGAGGTTCTGGGTTTAAATAAAAAAGATGCGTGGTAAGGTTAACCTTCTGCAATGACCCTGATCCCGGTTCCTTGAAATGATCTCTTCTTCTTCACGCCCACTGACCTGTCACACTCATCGAAGCACTCGTCTCACTGGCTCCTGCAGCGTTCGCAGCTTTACACGTGTACTTGCCCGAGTCGGACATGCTGACAGACGGAACTGTGAGTTTGCAGCTGTTATCGGTGCAGCTGATGTCATAGTTTGGCCCACTCTGGATCTCTTGGCCATTGTGGAACCAGGAGGTTGTTAAAGGAGCAGACCCCGTGACCTTACACTCCATCTCACCAGGCTTTCCCACAACAAGGTGGGTGTCTCTCAGCTTCCTTATGAAACTCGGTGAAATCAACTTATCTATTGTCAACAAAAACAACAAGTTATAATGTGACTGAGTTGACTGCTGATTAAAATGAGAAAACAGAAGGATAGCAATGAGCATCTATTCACTGGACACCAACCTGAGACAGAGAGCTTAGTTTTGCTCGAGGCGGTGCCAACATGATTCGTAACCTCTAGTTTGTATTCTCCAGCATCTGCTTTGTCTGCAGACCGAATCTTCAGGGTGGCCACCTTCTTCGAGAAGGACATCTGGTACTTGGCACCAGCAGAGAGCTCGTTGTTGTCCTTGAACCACTTAGTTTTTAGTTCTGGTGAGCCACATACTGTTACCTCAAGAGCTGCACTTTCTCCTGACTTCACGTTCAAGGACTCTGGGCTATCCACAATAGCAGCAGGTTCTAGAAGTTAAGGAAGAAGATGTTACGCTAAGTGAATCCTTATGCTGTCGCTAGTGGCAACGTAACGGTCTGGAGTTCTACAAACCTAGAACGGTCACTTGAGAGACAGACTCCACTACTCCAGATTCACCCCTCAGCTGGCAGGTGTATTTTCCAGCCGTGGTCGAGTCAGCTTTGGGAACTACAAGAGTCACCACATTGTTCTCAAAGGTGATCTTCCTGTTGTCACCGTCTCTGAGAACGTGATCTTTGTCCTGAACCCAGGACACTGTCAGATCTGAGCCCTTCACTGTGGCCGTCAGAGTCAGCTGCTGACCGACTCTCACCGACTGGTCGACCAGCTTCTTCACAAATGCTGGTTGTTCTGAATAGTGATGGAAAGATCACAGGTGAGGAGAGGTGATCCCACCTAGACTAAGCTCGCCGTGAAAGCCACTGATTCTGTACTAACCTTTTAGGGTCATGGTGGTGCGGCAGGTTTCACTTCCGACATTGTTGGACACCATGCACTCATAAACACCAGCATCATCCTGCTCCAGTTTCATCACGTGGAGCGTGGCAGAGCTGCCTACACTGACCATCTTGTACTTCCTACTCTCCTTCAGAGGCCTTCTGTCTTTGTACCAGTTAACATGGAAAGGTGGAGTGCCATACATCTCGCACTGCAGACTGGCATCTTTCCCTTTAATGCCCTCCACTGGGCTCGGAGTTTTAGTAAAGGATGGGGACTCTGGAAAATATATCAATGTATATTAACAGAAGGAAAATTCATGGACAAGCAAGTCTTCACGGCAAGCAGCTCATCCGGGCAGTTCCAGTGGATCTAAGTTCTCGGAGAGGCTCATGCTAAAGTTCAGTCCATGCTAGAGGTTTCCATCCAGGCGCTCACAAAAAACATCATTACGTTCATGCTATGATGGGAGGGTCGGTCACAGGACAAAAGAAAGAAGATGGAAAGGTCAGTGACGGGTCTAGGATAGGTCATTCCATCAAAAGTGGAGAAAAAAACGTCTCTAAAAAAGAGGTCATGCTATCGGACACACCGAAGGACGTAAATCTGATTCTGAGCTGAAACAGGAAGTGGGGCTGGAGGAGTCCATGCTCACATTTTTAAACAGGATTCTAGAAACACTCACAAAAAGTCAAACTCAAAACGTAATATCACAATCTGCATCTTCATTCCTTCTTTTCATGCTACACAAGCTCACAGGGGACAAAATCCAAAAAGCAACAGCGAGTGTCCTGGATATCTGTTGGATAGCTGACCTTGGACTGTGAGGATGCTGCTGCAGCTTGTACTGCCAGCATCATTATGAGCCTCACATGTGTAGACTCCGTTATCCTCAAACCTTGTGCTGCACAGCTGGAGGTACGCGGTCGAGGCAACAAACATTGTTTTACAGTTGCCTCCGTCAGTTATCTTTTGGTCATTTTTGTACCAGCACATTTGCAGGGAGTGAGCGCTGGTGGCCTGGCATTCGAAACGATGTCCCTCACACTGCTTCACAAAGGTAGTGGGAGGCAGTTTCAGGACAAACTGAGGAGGCTCTGCAAAGTCAAAAAAAGATCACGTTACTATCATGAGCACAAAGGAACAGTCAGTGTGATGGATGGAGGATGGCGAAGGTGACCGGATGCTGTGATAGGTGGCTCTGAGGAAAACAGAACTATTCCTGGAAAGAAAGCAAATGGTGAAGTGGTCGGGCGGAGAAAATGGAAATGAAGAAAGAGAAGCTGTGAAAATGGAGGAAAAAAAGATGGAGTGGTGATGGGGGTGGACAAAAAAAGAGAATAGTCCAACCTTTCACCAACAACTCTGCTGCACTTTTCACTGCGCCTGCTTCATTGCTAACTTGGCAAGAATAAATCCCAGAGTGCAGCGTCTCCACTGAGTGGAGCTCCACACAGGAGGAATACGTCTCCAGTCTAATGGTACACGAAGGTCCAGTGATGAGCTCCATGTCATCCTGAAACCATTTCACTGTCAGTGGAGGTGTTCCTTCAAAGACACTTCTGAAGAGCACAGCAGACTTTGGAGGAACAGCCTGAGACTCAGGCTCAGCTACGAATCTTGGTGGCACTAAAACCCATACAGAGACATGGTTATGGAACATGCCGACCAGCCTGTGAGCTCAACATTGAATGAAGTCTGAGTGCTAACCTTTAGCAGTAAGAACTCCACTGCACACACAGCTGCCTGCTTGGTTGGTGACTGTGCAGGAATACTCTCCTGTATCAGCGCCTTCAGTCAGCTTCAGCTCCAGTGATGCTGTATGTTCAATGTGCACCAGCTTGGCCTTGGAGCTGTTGGTGAGTTTTTGTTTGCCTTTGCTCCATTCGACTGACAGCGGAAGAGAACCAGCCACTTTGCACTCCATCGTGACCACTGAACCCATAATCGCTTGAATGTTTTTTAATTTTCTAATGAACGTGGGAGGAGTTACCTGTTCTGCTTAAAGCAATGTTGAAAAAAGATAATTAGAGCCAAAGACAGCAGTTCTACAATTTCAGTTGTTTGCTCTGAAAGAGTTAACGATTATTTTACAAACCTAAGACAACCAGCAAGACTTTACAGCTACGACTCCCGACAGAGTTTCTGACTTCAAACAGGTACTCTCCGCTGTCTTCCAGCTGAGCAGACTGTATGCTAAGACTGCTGATGTTGTTCTCAAAGTAGAGGTGATGCTTTCTGCCTGACTGGAGCTCCTTGCCATGTTTGATCCATCTGACACTCATCCGAGGAGTTCCTGCTAATCTGCACTCGAGACTGATCGGATCCCCACGGGTCACTTTGACCACCTCTGGCTTCTCTTGGATCGTAGGTGGTTCTACAACACCAGGAGAAAGAGTGAGTGCGCTGGTTATTGCAGTTAGAGCTAGCTAGAATGTCAGGCCCATGAAGCCCAGGTACCTTCTACAGTGAGGGTGGCAAAGCAGTTGTCCTGCCCCGCCTCATTCACCACCTGGCAGGTGTATTTCCCACCATGAGTCACCTCACAAGCAGGAATCCTGAGAGTGGCCTTGTTGTTCTGAAATGTTCTCTCAATGTTTGGATCCTCTGGGATCCAGTTGCCATCTCTTTGCCATTGTACAGACAGAGGTGGAGAACCTCCCACCGAGCAGCAAAAGGTTGCAGCGTCTCCCAGAACGGTGGAGACATTTTCTGTCTTCTTCACAAATGTTGGAGGGACTGATTGAAAGAAAAGATGTTTGTAAAACAGGAACAGGTTCAGTTCTGTATGTCTGGTGTTGTGTGCAGTCATCAGTGAAACCAACCTTTCAGAGACAACGCTGCGAAGCCAGCACAGCTCCCAACCTCATTCGCTACCACACACTTATAACCACCAACATCTTCCATCTTACAGTCCTGGATTTTCAAGCTCGCATTTTCACCATCAACAATGATATGCTTTTGGCTGGATTTGATTGGTTTTCTATCCTTGAACCATGTGACATTAAGCGAAGGACTTCCTGCCACTTTGCAAGCAAACACAGCTGTGGAACCTTTAACAACCTCCAGAGACGACAGCTCCTCAACAAAGCGAGGAGGCTCTGAAATAACAAAGCAAAGTGCTCAGAGTGGCCTTGCAGTTTTGTTGGTGCTGCAGGATTTAACTGGACTTTGACTGACCAGATGTACACATGTAAAGAAGAACCAACCTTTCACTTCCAGTCCCAAACAGCAGCTCTCAGTGCCGGCTTCGTTGCACGCCTCACAGATGTATTTCCCGCTGTCATGCTCGCTAACCTGACAAATCTCTAAAGTGGCTGCAGAGTTAAAAAACGACATCTTGTGATGAACACTTTGAAGAATCTCAGCTCCATCTCTGAACCAACGCACAGAGATCTGTGGAGTACCAGCAACCTTACACTCAAACACCTTCTTGTCTCCTACTCTGACCGATGAAACATCTTCAGGTTTTTCTATGAAAAATGGAGGTTCTGCGGAAATACATACAAAAGTTAGTTAAGTACGGTGATCACCACAAATCAAAGAATAAAGCTGAGAGAGCAGCATTAACCTTTGACAAACAGCGTTGCCTGGCACGAAGCAGAGCCCACGTCATTCTGTATTTCACAGACATAGTCTCCAGAGTCGGAGGTTTTGGCAAAGAAGAGCTCCAGAGAGCTGGAGGTGTTGTCTTTAACCACAGAGCAGTCGGCACTGGACGAAACCTCCTTCTGGTTTTTAAACCATTTGATGGTCAGCGGCGGCGTGCCAGAAACCAGCACGTTAAACTGGACCTCTGATCCAGGCAAAACATTCATGGATTCAGGCTTTTCAAGAATACACGGTGGTTCTGTAGGTGGACAAAACCCAACACTTCTTTTATAACATATACAGCGTCATTGTGCCTAAGATGCAACAAGGTGCTGAGGATGTGAGATCTAACCTTTAACAAACAAGATCCCAGAGCACTGGACGGTCCCTGCTCGGTTTGTAGCCATGCAGGTGTAACTGCCGCTGTTTTTAGTGTCAAGATCAGAGATTTCCAGAAAAGCCACATTCTCAAAGAAGGTGCATTTGTGTTTGTGGTCAGTCTGGATCTCTGCCTCATCTTTGTACCACTGTACTGTTATGGGCAGGGAGCCAGACACCAGGCACTCCAGATGAGCGAAGGATCCTTTGATTCCTTCTGTCTGCTTCAGCTTTCTCGTGAAAGACGGTTTAATAATCTGATCTATTACACACAAAGTGCAAAGACAATGTTACGGTGGTTGTAGGAGAAAAACTGGAAACAAAATCTTGTGGGACATCGAACTTTTGGACCAACTGACCTAAAACAGTAACTGATGCTTCACAAGAACCGCAGCCAGCCACATTAGAGACCTGGAAGGTGTACACGCCGCCATCGCTCGTCCCTGTTTTAATGATGTGCAGCGCAGAGCTGCTGTCTGTGCTCTGGATTCTGTATCTCTGGCCTGACGTCAGCTGCTTTCCCGCCTTCATCCATGTGGATGTGAGCGGTCTGGTGCCTGAGAACCGGCATTCAAGCCTGGCCGGGTCACCCTGGGTCACACTGATGGACTTTGCATGTTCTGAAATGTTTGCTGGTTCTGACACAACAAAACGATTGAAAGCTGAGTGAGCTCCAACCACTGAGTTAATGCGACAGATGAAGCAGACACAAAGCAGCAGCGGTTAAGACAGGAAGAGCCACAGACGTCCTACAAACCTGTAACTATGAGCACAGCGGCACATCGCTGAGTCCCGGCTTTGTTCTGTGCCTCAAACACGTATTTCCCACCGTGTGACAACTGAGCGTTTTTCAAATTCAACACGGCACTTTTGGTTTCAGACGACATCTTAACATGCTCATCTTCTGTGAGCTCATGATCGTCCTTGATCCAGGAGAAAGTCATGGGCAGTGATCCAGACAACATGCACCTCATAGAGATCTCAGAGCCCACCATGCAGGACACATCCTCTAGTCTCTGAACAAATGATGGGGATTCTAGTGAGAGAAGACCACAAATCAGACTGAAGGCTGCAAGAGTTACACAAATACACATAATCCACATGTAAAATCTGCCTGATCTGACTGCCAGCTGACAATCTGAATACAAATGACAATTATGTGCAGCTGCTTAGAGCGAGAAAAATACAGGATGGAGACATGAGCAGCTCTCGGACTGCATTTTTCTAAACAAAAAAGCAATTATGGCCAAAACATTTGAAGGTAAACCTATTTTGTGACACTGGGCAGCATGCAGTGTGAGCGTATGCAGCACCGTCCTGTGACTGACCTTTGAGAGAAATGTGGCAAGAACAAGATGTCTCCCCGACATCGTTTGTGACGGTGCACTGGAACAATCCAGCATCAGCGCTCTCACAGTTTGAGATGTGAAGAGTGACCGTGTCGTTTTCAACACTGACTTTATGCCTTTTGTCATTTCTGATCAGCTTATCGTTGAGGAAACAGCTTGTTTCAAACGGAGCAGAACCTGAAAGGGTTCCTTCCAAGAGAATGTCGGATCCTTTCACAAGCTCAGCTGATTCGAAAGGTCTCATAAACACCGGAGGCTCTATAAAAGACGTAACACATGTTATATTTGGAGGCCTGAAGAGGAAGTCTGATGAGGAAAGTCTGGTCCACATGGTTCACTGAGTTCTCCACTGTCACTGCTGAGCTCCTGTTTTCACCTCTGGGCCTGAAAATGGTTGAAAGTGGATAGAGTCATGGATCTGACTGTGCTGCTTCATCGGCTCTTTTCCACCGTAGGAGGTACCCTACCGAAGGGATCAGTAAAGTTCTGTCTAATCTAATCTAATCTAGGATTCAGCAGCTTCAGCAAACAACCAGAACAAGCAGAACTACTGGACAAGTTCTCGGTAGGAAACAGAACAACGTTCCGTTAGAACCTGTGGAAACCTTCATGTTGTTGATGTTGAGTGGAGAAGGAGCTGCTGGATGAGAACACTGAGAGGACAGACAACAGGTCGTCCTGTCTGGATTAACCAATCAGCATCCAGACCTGTACAGCAGATCATCAGCTCAGAAGTACCGACTCTGGAGAAGGTGCCCCTAAAAACAGAACTGAAACAGGTTCTTCATAGACGGTTGGAACAGCTGCTGTGTTCCTGAAGTAGACAACAGCCTGTCTGAAGGCCGTGATGCTCCCCAATGCCAATCCAAGTGTATCTGGTGGAGAGTGAAGGGATGCTGGATGGACAGTGTCAAAGCCTGGGTCTGTACACTGAAGTGTGCACTGATCAGAGAACGCTGTGGACCAGACTGTGCCTCAGACAGAGAGGTGAACCTGCATAAAGACGACTGGAGGCTGGACCAACCTTTCACTGTGACTGAGCTGCTGCACTGGTCTCTGCCGGCCTCGCTGGTGGCCACGCACACATAGTCTCCACTATCCTGAACAGAGCAGCTCTCTACCTGCAGCGTCGCTATCGAGCTGTCGAAGGACATCGTGTGTCTGTGGTCAGAAATGACTTCTGAGCCGTTTTTAAACCATGTGACAGTAATGACCGGAGAACCCTGCACTTTGCAGGACAGCTTCAGAGGATGTCCAGTTCTCACCAGCTGTGAAGGCTCTGGCTTCATTGTAAATGTTGGAGCTTCTGCAAATTAACAGTAACAGTTACAGTAGAATCAAAGCAAAGGGAGAAAACAGTTCAACACGTTTGTAGAAGAACGAATCACACAGCACCTTTCACAAAGAGGACTGCAGTGCAGTCCACCTTCCCAGCATCGTTGGACACCTGGCAGGTGTATTTAGCTGAATCACTGGGTTTCACAGAGTGGAGCTCCAAAGAGCTCGAAGAGGCGTCTTTCTTTATGAAACACTTTCCTCCAGTGAAAACCTCTTTCTCCTCTCTGAACCATTTAACAACCAGTGGAGCTGATCCAGTAAAGGACGACTTCAGGACAACATTTGATCCCGGTGAAGCGTCCTGGGATTCAGGCTTCACCGTGAAGGCTGGAGGTTCTGGAGTTATTGAGGAAGAACACAGCATACATGTTCAAAGCCTATCAATGTCACCTATAGCATCTGCCAAATTACTGTTTAGTCCTAATTCACTTCCTCTAACCTTTGATGGACAAAGTGCCGCTGGTTTCTTTTTCCCCGGCTTCATTCGAGGCCCGGCACGTATAAACGCCCCCATGGCTCTGGTCCAGGCCAGTTATCGTCACAGAGGCTGAGCTCTCACTGAAATCAACCTTATATTTGTCGTCACTGTGGATCTCTTTATTGTCTTTGTACCAGGTCACAACCATCGGCTGAGATCCAGACACTCTGCACTCCAAGGCGACACTACTACCAACACTGCCATCCACCTTCTTTAGAGTTTTGGTGAAGGAAGGTGGAACTGCACGATCTGCGTAGGAAACACACCAAACATGTAACGGCCGTTCAGGACCACTGTTTAAATTGCTGTTCATGACGACTAAAACTGACCTATCACAGAGACTGAGCAGGTGCACTGGTCTTTTCCCACTTTATTGGACACTTCCATCTTGTACTCTGAAGTGTCTCCTTTATCTGCAGTGAGAATCTTTAAAATGGCCGTGTTCTCCTTCAGAGTCATCTTATATTTACGGCCAGCGATCATCTCCTTGCCGTCTTTAAACCACTTCACTTTGAGCTCGGGGCTTCCAGAGATGGTGCACTGCAGCGTGGCCGAATCGCCTGCCGTCACACTGATGGATGCTGCTTTCTCTAAGATTCTAGCAGGTTCTAAAATACAACATGAGTTTTAAATTTAGTCAGCAGCTACATCTGTGGAAATGTTTTTCATAACTAGGAATGTTTTCCAACCTTGGATAGTTAGCACAGCTTCACATTTCTGCTGTCCCGCCTCATTTTCAGCAAGGCAAGTATACTTGCCGCCATGCTTCAGCTCAACAGAGGAGAAGGAGATGCTGGTGATGTTGTTCTCAAATGCCATTTTGACATTTGGATCATCATCTCTGAGCAGCTCAGAGTCCTTCATCCATTTGACAGTGATGGGAGCTGAGCCTTTCAGGGTTCCCTGCAGCTTCACTGTGTTTCCCAACACTGCTGTAGCACTTTCAGCTCTCTTTGAGAACACGGGTGGCTCTGAAATAACAGCGTTTGTCACGATAATGCCACAAACAGCCAAGAGGACTACAACAAGTATAACAAGTGTTGGTCCTGATGTTTCTACATCACTAACCTTTCTGTTTCACCCCAGACTTTGAGGTGACTGACCCAACCTCATTTGATACGACACATTCGTATTCACCAACATCAGCGCTCTCGAAGGAGTGGATCTCCAGAGAGCTCAGGGATCCCTGTGAGACTATTCTGAACTTCTTGTCTGCTGACAGGCGTTTCTTATTCTTTTTCCAAGTCACGTCGAAGGGCGCAGAGCCTGAAACCTCACACTCCAACACAGCTACTGATCCTCTGACCGCCTCTACGGAGACGAGCTCCTTCCTGAAACATGGGGGCTCTAAAGGGGAGCACACAGGCAAGTTAGAGAAGCTCTTTTTCTAACTGAAGTTTGAGCTTGGTCATCCGATTCCCTGAATGTGCACACCTTTCACTGTTATTTTAATGCTGCAGCTTTCACAGCCAGACTCATTGAGAACGTCACAGGTGTAGTTTCCACTATCACTCAACATGACATCCTGTATCTCAAGCGTGGCGACACCGTCTTTCAAACTGATGGCGTATCTGCCACCAGCAGACAGCTCGCTGTTGTTGAAGAACCAGGTGGTGTGAAGTTCGGGGGATCCTTTGACGGTGCACTGCAGCCGAGCGGCGCTGCCTTGCTTCCAAACTGCTGTGGCTTCCAGCCTCTTTACAAAGACTGGCGGCTCTGCAGAGGTGTGTGGTTAAAAAGAGCCATTATGGAGTCAAAGAAGTCAGTTTAGAAAAACAACACAGCATGGAAAGAGAAGAGGTTAAAGAAAAAAGGTCAGCTGGACACCACACAATAAAATGATGTTAATTTTCAGTACTGCACATTTGCAAAAGCTTCAAATGCTGCAGTATCCATGAAAGTTAACTAGACAGCTCTTACCTTGGACTTTCACCGATGTGGAGCAGGACGCACTCCCAGCTTCATTAGTCACCACACACACATAATTTCCACAGTCTTTCAGTGTGGTCTTCAAGATATCAAGAGTAACTGTCTTATCCTCAAAAGACAGTTTACAGTCGGGTGACTGGTGGACTTTTCTACCGTCTCTGGTCCAGGTGACGGTGACTCCAGTGTCCTCATCCACCTGACACTCCAGGTGCAGAGGAGCTCCCACCACAGCAGCGACTGCACCCAGAGGCTTTACAAAGTTGGGCTGATCAATAACTCGCAGCTCTGCGCTGCACTCGGCCGTCCCAACGTTATTGGAAGCTTTGCACACATAAAGGCCGCAGTCAGCTGCCTCCAGCTTGGTTATGTCAAGAGTGTGCTTATTCTTTTCACAAGAGGTCTGGTAGTGTGTCGGCACTGTGGGCAGAGCCTGGCTGTCTTTAAACCAGACAACGCTGAGAGGACCAGATCCTGTTATTACACACTGCATCACTGCCCTCTTTCCAACAAACACAGTCTGAGGCTCAGGCCTACTTATAAAGACTGGAGGGCTTTGCTCTATAAGGATTCAGAAAAAGAGAACACATTAGTGGTGACGTGTTAAACCCGGATAGTTCATCATTACCACAACTTGCCAATGAGCCAAAATCCAACCAGCGAGGCAAGAAAGTGTAAAAAACAAAAACGATTCACAAGAAGCCAGCGTCCGTCCAAAGGAACCAAGACACAAGGCAATCTGACGCCTTCAAGGACAGCAGGTCTGGATAAACAGCTCCAAACACAACCAGCGAAGAAGAAGGAAACGTGCGTCGCTCTTACCTGTGACGCTGAGGGAGGCGGAGCATTCGTCACTGCCGTGCTGATTGGACGCCTTGCAGGTGTATTCAGCGCTGTCGTCCTTGGATGGGCTCAGGACCTCCAGGGAGGAGGTGCTGAAGCGGCTGATAATCCTGTACTTATCACCCTCTTTGATGGGGTGGCCGTCCTTAAACCACTTGAAGCTCACGTTGGGAGCATCCTCAGTCTCACAGTCAAACTTGGCCATGCCGCCAATGTTGATCTCCACGGGAACGATTCTGTGCCTGAACACAGGCTTCACTGCAAAGACAACAGGACAGGGTGAATAAACAGTGGCTGAAAGAAAAGCAGTCAAGGTTGCACTGGAGGTGGAGATGTGGTGAACCTGGGATGGAAAGTGACACACACAGTTATCCTTGATGACTGGAGGAGGAAAGATGTATTAGGTTTGGATTGAAGCTGTGATGATTCTGTGATAAGAAAAGGAAAGAAAGCATGCAAAGAAGAATGGCGCAGGAATGAGGAATGTTTACAGATACAGAGCCAAAGGTGATTCCTTGGAGAGGAATGAACATTAGAGTGATGTGTTGGTGGAGGATGAGCTGGGAGAAGAGTGAAGATGCCACTGCTGTCTGGTGAAAACCTCAAAGCTCCACATCGAGTTAGGCTTTGAAAATATCCAAAGCCTTTTGTTTGCATTCATTCGTTACATGTTGAGTTCTAGTGGAGGTTTGCAGACAGCAGAGTTTGAATTTCAATGATGTGTGAAGTTAGTTGATGATGATATCAAAGAACTGTCCATCATCAAACCTCTTGAGGCCACAGTGAGTCTTGAAGATGTCGTGGTCCTGCCGGCTTCATTCTCAGCCTCACAGACAAACTCTCCTTGATGTCTCTCCTTGACAACTTTGCTGATGACCAGTGTGTATGTGTCGTGATCTTTACAACACTTGAACTCTTTGCCAGGTTTCACCAACTGGCCGTTGAAAAACCAGTGAACTTTGGTGACGTACTTTATGGTGGCAGTAAAAACAGCCGTGCCGTTTTCCTCAGCGCAAACGTCCTCCAGAGAATCAACGACAACTGGACAATCAGCCAGACTGTCACAGGACTCGCTGATCATGACTGCCTCTGACAGATACTCTTCTCTGGTTTCTCTGTGGACAAAAACCTCCACATGTTGTTCAACGGGACCTACAGGTACAGCAGGGATGGCGTCCCTCTCAGACCTGACCTGCCTGGACTCTTGGATCTCAGTCCGACCCAGAACAGTGGCACTGTGAAACGAAGCCATGGCTTCGATTTTGATGGCTTCAGACTGAGATGCAGCAGGAGGAAACCCAGCTGCACTCTCCGCCACCATCACAGTGTCCACAACAGATGACAGAACCTCTTTGGATGGCGCTGAGCTCACCTGAACCCTCTGAGGCTTGTCGATCTGCATGGTGCCCGGCTGCTCTGAAGTAAGACTCTGCTGCTCCTGGAAAACCATCGCATGCAGAGCTACCTGGAGTTCAGACCTGAGGTCAGCTGCCTGAGGATATTCACCTTCAAAACACAGTGTGATCTCCAGGGGGGCACCTGGTGAAGTGATCAGGTACGTATAAGAGGCCCGTTGGGGTTCCCTCTGCAGCTTCACCTCCTGCACCTGTACTGCCTCCAACCTTCCTACGACGTCAGCCAGGAGCACCGGCTGGTCGTTGGCCACGGCCGACTGTAGGGCGTCTTTGAGCTGACGCCGGATATTCAGACTCGATGGTTTTGGAATGTGAATGACAAAGTTGAGTTCTTTAGGCAGAGTCTGGGCGTCCTGAGACTCGTGGACAAACAGGACTCCTTTAGGCTGTGTCTTCACACCGACAGTCAAACCCTCAGGTTTATGTATTTCACTTGACCACTCCCCCACGATCACCTGCTTTTCTTCCAGCACCACTGACTGTCGGACCGATTGACCCTCCTGGATCTGGACTGCAAAGTCCTGCTCAGCAGCCTGTAAGATCGTGCAGCTTTCAGTGGCGGCCGCCTTCTCTTCTATGAAAACTGGCTTTTTGGGGATCTTGGGCTCAGTTTTCATTTCAGGCTTGAATTTTTCAGGAGTTGTCAGACTGGTGGTGTGGCCCTCCTCCAGCGTCTGAGTGTCCGTGATGTTCACAGAGTGCATGATGTTCCAGTAATCCTCTCTCTGAACTAAAGCTCGCTGCTGCTTGACGTCGGTCACAAGAGGCGCCTCCTTCGGCAGCTGGACGGGCTGAGAGGACGCGGTGAGGATGCTCAGAGGCCTGGACTCGGTTCGAAGCTGCGCCTCGACACCGACCACAGACACATCGAGGTCTTTGTGATAATCCGCAGTGATCTCCCTCCTCTCTTCAGACGTCGCTGCATACCTTCTAGCCTTCTCCTGTTTCTGTGCTGCCACCTGCTGGTCAGGTTTGGTGAGGGTCAGCAGACCTTCCTTTGGTAAAACCGACACAGAATGGATGGACTGGAGGTATTTTGATGGTGGTAGCTCTTTCTCCGGCTGAACAGAGACGGCGTCAGTCTTTGCGGTGAACTCTGAAGTGGCCTCACACACCACCGTCCTCTGGTCCTCCTGAGTCACTGAATGCAGCACAGTGGGACTTTTTCTCACCTCAGCTTGTTCTGCAGGAGGCTTCTCGCTGCTGAACCTTCCCTCAGACTGTAAAACCTCCTGACCACTGATAACCTGCAGATTCAGGAGTCGCTCTCCTTCGTGCTGAGGGGTCAGACTGACAGCAGAAGCTAAGCGTGGCACCTGTCCGGCCTGTTCAGCCTGGAGCTCATATTTCTCTTCACTGCTTATAGCTGACTGAAGCAGCACATCTTTGCACGGGGTGATGCTCTCCTGCTCTGGTCTTTGTATTTCAAATGTCTGCTCCTTGGATAAAGCTACTCTAGTCTGACTCACTGGTGCTAAGACTGCTTTAGGTTGCTCTTTTTCAATCAAGGGTGTAAAGCCTTCATCTAAAGCTTGCAGAGGCTCCGAGTGTCCTTCTGTGAGTTGCAGCTGCCCTGCAGACTGAGCCGAATATAAGACCTTAACCCCCTCTGTGACTCTGAAACTCTTCTCCTCCTCCGGTCTATGCACGATGCCTGAGGTTTCATCGAGGATGGCTAGAGCAGATTCCACTTGGTGGCTGCTAACAAGCTGCCTGGGCTCAGCCAGAGTCTGAATGTGCTCAGGCGTCTGGTGGGCTAAAGCCTCGGCTCTGACCGTGGTGAGAGGGAGGACCTCGTCCGATGTAGCCGACAGGAGCCTGGACGGCTGCTCTTTGGATAGCTCCAGTTCTACGACTTCGGGGCTGAGGATTCGTTCAGAGTGCTGCTCGGTGATCTTCTGTCTCTCCTGGACTGAAGACAAGAAGGTCGCCACGTGAAGCTGTTTCACAGGAACAGCAGAGACCTGAGGGGGGTGGCTGGGAGCCAGTGAAACCCTCTCCTGTATTTCATGCGCCTGCAGCACTGCTGCCTGCTGGGTGAGTTGCTCTCGATGAAGGGTGGCAGCAGAGATGTCGAGCTCTCTGAGGGTTCCCACCTCTTCGCTGGGAATAATCTGCCGGTCTTCAGTGCTAATGGTGTAAATCATCTGGTCAGACCGGGTTCTTTCCTGGTTTAATCTGGACTCTGTGCTTTGTTGGGTCATCGATATCTTCAAACCTTTCTGTACTAACGTGTGCTCTTCCTGAGCTTTGGCCCTGAACACCAGCAGCTCGGCGGTACACGAGGCCTCCCCATATTGGTTGGAGGCCTTGCAGGTGTAGACGCCGCTGTGCTCTTGTTTGACACTCTTAATATGAATAAAGCCTGATCCATCCGGGTTGTTCACAATGATACAGAACCCACTAGGCTGAATGTGGAAGCTGCCTTTGAGCCACTGAACCTCAGGGAGAGGCTCTCCGGTCACAATGTACCTGAAGAAGCCTTCGCCTCCCTCCGACAGCTGAAGGCACTCTATAGTTTTAGTGAACTCTGGGGGTTTGCCAGTCGGTGCTGGGAATGTTCTCCCAGCGTCCTGATCCTGCTCTTCAGGCTCCTTCACCTCAACATGCAGATAAGAAGTGCAGGTGGACCGGCCGAATCTGTTGCTCACTGTACAGGAGTACTCTCCCTCACACTCCCTATGGACTCTGTTAATCACCAAACTATACTCGTCTTGTTCGTGAACAAATGTATAAACGGACGAACTCACGATGCTTTGCCCGTTGTGGAACCACTGAACCGTGGGCTTCGGGAAACCGGACACCCTGACGGTAAACGTGGCGGTTTCTCCGACAGTCACGGCTGCTGGAGAAAGCTCGCTGAGGAAAACAGGCTTTTCTTTTTTCTTCTCTAAAGTGCTCGAATAGCGTTTGGACTCTGGCTTGAGTTCAAGTGTTCTGGTTTTGTCAGGTAACTTGAGGCCAGTGTAGTACGACTCCTGGGTTTCCTCTTCCACTGTGACGGTGGAGCTAGAGAAGGCTGAGTGGAATAAATTCATAAATCAAGTGAGAAACACATTCCAACCTCAAAGCAGTCAGAGAAGAGTCGGACAGAACCACAGTTCACTCTGTGTTACTGCTGTCCAGGGATGTCCTGAACCCGGTTCTCAGATCAGGGTCTTTAGATCAGGACCGGGGTGCATCAAGACACCGTTTGGCTTATTGATACCAGCACCAAACTGAGTCTGATCCTTTATGTCGGTCGACACAGATGTGCTGTAAATGTGAATGATTGACTTCACATGCACAGCAATAGGAATCAATATGTGATCAAATGAGTCTAGAGGACCTTCCACTGGTCGTGTGCTGATGTCGTTGCCAATGAAGTGGACACATGAGCACCTGGTAAATGTTTAGCTGGGTGAGCCCTAACTGATCCCAACTTCATACATGTATGAAGTCAGAAGACTTTGTCATGGTGCCCCTTTACCAGCAAAACTCCCATGATGCTCTCTGATTGCCAGCACGAACTGTGATGCCCCCTCTGGTCACCACGGTATTAAACAGGAAGACCGCAAGTGTGTGTTATTGACAAAAATGGTTTAGACAGTCACTAAATACTTAATGACACATCAGATCAGCTAAAACATATAAAACTCGACCAGGACATCCCTTCTGCTGTCCAGCTTCAGTTTGGCCAACTTGCTTTGACAAGAACTTGGTGTGTATTTTGGAAAATGTTTTCAGTGTTCAGTGTAAATCCTTACCTTCCCCACCTGAAGACTGAACAATACAAACAGCTTATTTGTTAAGACGTCAACATTAAAACTTTATTTACCTTTCACTTCCTCCTGCACGTGAATCGCAGGTTCCTCCTCCACGGCAGTCACTGTAAAGACACAGATGTTTACGGCTTAAAAACACTCCAACACTGGTGCAGCACTGTTAGAATCAGTGGCAGCTCGTGCATCCAGATCATCATTGGTTTCTTTAACTGGTACAGTGCATGCTTCCTTTGGTCTTTTAGTGTGGACCTCTGGCTTTGTGGAATAAGCTCAGTGGTATGAGTGTCCCTCTCTGTATCTCTGTCCATGTTTTAGTCAGCGACCTCCTAAACTCAGTGGTTAAAGCCTTGTAGAAGACGTGGTGTCGCCCTGTGGAGAAGTGTGTCTCTGCTGGCTGTGTGGGTGGAAAGCAGTGTGATGAGTGTGGGCCAAACAAAGCCCGAGCGAGCAGAAGGACCAAAGCATGCAGATGCCAACCTTTCGTCACTGTGCTGCACTCAGCATCTCCGGCTGAGCTCACATTTTTGCAAGTGTAAGAGCCCCCTTGTCCGGGTCCCACATTAACATTTCTACAGCACAGGGGGCCGTCATGTTTCAGAGAGTAAGACACAGAGTCCTCAACATTCAACCGGTTGTAAAGCCAAATGACAAACGGAGTGGGGAGCCCCTTCATAACGCAATACAGGGAGCTGCTGTCTCTGCTTCGGACCAGCAGCTCAGGGGGGAGTTTGACCAGGAACTCGGGGCAGCTGGAGAGTCGCTTGTCGTGAGGCAGGACGTCGGGGAAGTACAGCTGGCTGATGAGGCTGTGAGGTCTCTGGGAAGACGGAGGCAATGGTCCCGGCTTCTCCAGCGCCTCCTGCTTGTCTTGGTCAGGGGGATCTCTAGGGGTCTCCCTGTCTGCCTGAGACACTTTACGCACAGAATCGGTAGGGATGGGGGTTTCTGCTTTGACATTCGCTTCTTTAGCTGGGTGAGAATAAAGTTAGGGAGAGTAATTAGGGGTCAGAGAGAGTATAAGGCTGTGACTCTAAACACTAAAGGGTTAGTAGGATGGAAGATGAGGTTAGCGAGGCGAAGCTGGAACAGCAGAAAGAGGATAAACTAACTCCAAAGCTTGTTATTCTATTACATCCTAACAGGTTACAGAGGAAATATTAAGTCATGGGGGGACGAAGCAGGAGGAGCAGCTGTGGAGGTGGGATGGACCAGATGGAGAGACAGACTAGATAAGAAAAGAAAGATTAACCACCTTCAACAGTGAGCTGGGCGGAGCAGCTGTTCTGGCCGTGTGGGTTGGTGGCGGTGCAGCGGTACCGGCCCTGGTCCGCCACACCGACACCCTGGATGACCAGGGACAACACGGCCCCGCTCTGAGAGCTCCTCACCCGCTCCGTGTCTGCCAGGTTCTGGCCGTTATGATCCCAGACCACGGCGCTGAAGGGCTGCCCGTCAAACGAGCAGCTGAACTCGGCCATCTCGCCGCTTTGCACCCAGACGTCGCTCATTTCCATCAGCAGCTCGGGGCTGGCTGAGAGTTTGAAATCAAAGCTGCTCTCAGAGCTTTCCATCTGAATCTCAAACGTCCTCCACGACACGGAGGAACTCTCAGTGACCGTCTCGGTAAACTCAACACTGTGGGTGGTTTGTCCCACCGACAGAGAGCTGAAACTCTCCGTCCGAGCCTCCAGGCTCTGAAAAAGTTTAGTCTCAGCCCCAGTGGTCGACACACTAGCTAAGGCTTTCTCATCTGGGCAATAAGAAAGAGTAGAAGAATTAGGTCAACACATCATTCTGGTGACTTCTCCAGGTTACTTGTGTCACAGCTTGTTTTGGCGAGTGCAGTGGAGGTGGAGCGCTGAGGATCAGTCATTATCAGTGAGGGAGCGACACTGGCTGGTTTCCGCTGTCAATCATGCAAGCTTGACCGGAGCCAAAATCCAAAATAAAAACAGCTACAGATTACATCCGTGCTCGAGTGAGAGGAACCCGGAAAGCTGCGTTTCCAGAGTTCGGCTGTGTTTTGACCATGCTGCATTCTCTGAAACAAAGAGTCACGTCTCACAGGGAGACTGTTAAGACTGTCGGCGTGGAAGAGGAGACGTCATGCAAAGAGAAACCTGAAAGACGAAGCGTCCAGTGAGGGTCAGAGCAGAAACAGTTCAAACACACTCGGGTCAGCCAAAGTGTTGCATCAGGATGAAGAAGCTCCAAAATCTCCACCAGCAGTTTCAGCTTTGGATTGAGTTTTAGGTTTGTTGGGGTTTTTAGGTTTAGTGGAATTTGAGTCATTTGATGTTAAAGTTTCAGTCACAGAAACTGACATCATTTCCGTGTCGTCTTCCTGAAGCGACATTTTATCCTCGTTTTAAACAGGTGTAGCTTGAGAAGAGACACTAAGCGGTTGGAAAACAGGAATTGTTTCACATTATTTTCGTGAACACGTAGCAGATGTAGAATGAGCCGTATTATTGTCACAGAGTACGACATGCTGGTGACATGAATCAGACTGCAGCTTTATCTGCTCACCAACAGGGGGAGTGATGGAGATGGAGCTGGACTGCAGCATGAGGGACGACCTGAGGCTTCGGTACAAACCAAACTACAAAGTGATATTTGTGGTGAGTCCGTTTCTCAGCTGATTCTCTAACAAGCTCCTGCATTAAACAACTGGGCCATTTGTTGGTTAACTGACTGATTATTTAAAACAAGCGTTTATTTTTTTTTTATTATTAGCGTCGTTATTTTTTTAACTGATATCAGATGAACGGTGCAGCCGCCTGTCTGCCCGACGTGGTCTGAACAGGAACCTCCTTCAGTCCAGGACGAGGCCCACAGCTCACATCCATGTTCTCCACAGTTTCCCAGAGGTACCCTACCAAAGGGATCAATGACGTTCTATCTAATCGATCTAATCATCGGACTCTTTTTGTCCAAACACACTCAAAAAGTTTTTTTGTTTTTTTTTTACATTTTTTATTCTATTCTATTTTTACACTATGCTGTTATTTTACAGATTCCCTGTTTTGTTAAATTACAGATAATATCGAGTAAGATCAAAGGAAAAAGTAAGAATTTAAATGTTGACTGCATCAAAACTGTAAATAATGTCCACTTCAAAAATCTGCATTTAGAAATGTGTTCTTTTCCAGTGTGTGACTGTAAAATAAACAGTTTTACTGATCTTAGATCAGCTATAGATGTCACTGCTGTACAGGTATTTGCTGTTATTCTCACAGTTCCTTAACTTTTTGATCTTTACAGTATTTCACTGTTTGTTCATCTGTTCTTCGTTGGTTTTGTTCCCGTGCAGCGGCGGTCATATCTGCACACCTACACGTGCGTGAAACCTCCTGCTGAGCCATGCAGCTCTCTGTTGGCTCAGAAAGAGTCTTTTGCACCAACAGATGCTTCAGGTTCTGTTTGACAGGTGAGTGAAGTTTGACACCTTGAAGCACACACACTGAGCTGTACGAACACACAGGGATGCTCTGACCAGTGGCTGCTGTCTCACTTCCATGAGCTCAGCGGCTGACACAGGATTCTGAGCGTGAGTTAGGAATCAGAGCAGCCCTGTGAGGAACATGCAGCGATTCAGGCCCGACAGCGATGGCTCGTCTGAGCGGCTCGTGAACATCTGCAGGACTCACCGTCGATATTCAGAGTGGCAGCACATGTGACCATTCCTGCCGGGTTTGTGGCAACACATGAGTACTCTCCTTCGTGGCTCAGCAGAACTCTGGAAATGTCCAACTGGCAGGTTTCACCAAAATGAGACATCCTGAAGATGTCTGACTGCTTGATCTCTCTGTCATGACAGAACCAAGAAACCTGCACATCTGGAGACACAGCGTTGGTTACAGTCAGCATCACCTGAGACACGTTCACTGAAAGCAGCTCTAATGACAACTATGTTTGTGAGGGGAGCTGTGGTCTCTACCTTCCCCAGAGATGCTGCACTGGAACTGGGCCGGGCTTCCCTCTGAGATCAGAACATCACGCATGGCAGAGATGAGGACCGGAGGAGAGATTCGGGCCACGGTTTCAACCACCTCAGGAACTGGAGGAAGAAACACAATCAGTGATCGTTTGTGAACATAACCGGTGTGACGACGGGCTGCTGTCAAACCACCTGTTTACCAAACGCTCCAGTCAAACTGTGAGTAAAGACACTGGTCATGTGTAAATGTCTACCTGTCAGTCATATATCATACATCAGCAACTAATGAAGAAAGTTCCTCCAGAACCTCCTCAGAACATCTGGTTCTGTATCTGCAGTACCTTTGTCTACTGACCAGAGTTCTACCTTCAGACTGTGAACGTTCCAGAGGTCCAGGTCCTTCAAGTCCACAGAGGAGGGTCCAGATTGATCACTTTAATGGACTTTTTCCATCATTTCCAACTTCATCAGTACAGCAGATAGACACATGACATGTAGGAGGGTTCTGGTAGAACCTGACACCAGATGAAGGGAGAACTCTGCGTGGCTTCATTAAATATGATAAGCTACTGTAGATAAAAACCAGCTGATGCTGAGGAGGTCAGAGGGAGGACCGATCCTGTAGAAAACATCTGTACTGCTGTCCGGTCCAAAGATATGAAATCATTCTGCTCAGATGGAAGGATGCTGCCCTCCCGACCTATGATCAATGCCTATCAGATGTGAGGTCTTGCCTAAGCCTGGAACAGATCAGGGATTCTGTTCAGAACCAAGGGGGGAGATTTGAGAACGTATGGGGACCCTTTGTAAGATACCTTTCTTATCTTATTGCTGATTCTACTTACATCCATTCTTAACTGATTTACTGCAATTTCAGTTCAAGACTATAAAAGGGGAAATAAAGATGAGCAAAGAGAAAAGAACTTGGCATCCAGTCTCACAGCTTTGCATATTTCTTGCTGCTTCGAGGACCTAGTACCAGTGTCACTCTTTGATTATGTCAGTTTTTGCCAGTAACATTTAGCAGATTGAGCCATGCTGCTGTTGTTGTTGTTGTTGTTGCTGTTGTTGTTGATTTGTCCTTCTTACTGTTGGGGTTTTGGGTTGTCACTGTACAACTATTCTGCATAGAATTTGTGCTCACTACTACTTTTTACTTTAGCTGCTATGTAACGCACAAAGGAAATCTCTTCATTGTAAATTCTCGTGTTTGAAAATTCAATAAAAAGATTATTGATTTAAAAAAACAGCGTTAATCAAACTCCTTGATTACTAATAATCAGAAACTTATCTGTCTACCCCCAGTTCAGTATCTAGCAATCACAAAAGGGAAAAAAAGAAAAAATATTCCAGCACCTTGACCAAATGACCAAACGCACCTTCCACTGTGAGAGGGGCGGAGCTTGTCGCCTCTCCGTAGTCGTTCTTGGCCTCGCAGCTGTAGACGGCGGCGTCCTCGGGGAAGACCTCCAGCAGCAGCAGCGTATGTTCCTCGCCGTCGTGGAGGAACTTGCACTTGTAGCTGGTGGACAGCGCCTGGGAGTCTTTGTACCAGGATACCTGAGGCAGGGGGATACCGCTCACCTGCGCCGAGAACCGGACCGACCTGCCCGACGTCGCCGTCTGGGGCTGCATGTGGCGGACAATCTGAGGAGGCTCCGGCACTGAGGAACAGCAGGACGAAAATTAGTCATGTGGTTCCCCACCCCCAACCTCCAGGTTCGTCGACACTGGGTAGATTTAGGCGCCAAAAGGCCCTTTTTAGGAACTCTAGAACCTATAGCTTCAAAAAAGCTTCTCATGGTCACTGGGAAGGTTCTTGGGGCTCCAGTAGTCCTACAAGTGGTCACTGTAGTTACACAGATAGCTCTGGAAGTACTTTAGGAGTTTCTGGGATACACACTGGGGGAGGGGCTTGGGATCCTTTCAGAGGTTAGTTCTACAGCAGTAGGAATAAAGTTTGGGGTTCTTACATCTGACGTGAAGGTTCATGGAGCTCCTGTTCTTGCCGGCTAAGAAGGTGTACTCGCCGGCGTCGCTCCTGTAGGTCTCAGAGATGGTGAGGCGGTGCAGCTTCCTGATGGTGACGTAGCTGAACCTCTCCTCCACTGAGAGCTCGATCTCCACTCCGTTCCTCATCCAGCGACCTTCAACGTCGTCCTCGTTCACCTCAAACTCAAAGTTGGCTCTATGTTTCTCAACAACCTGCAAAAACAGATGATAGGTTGGGTTGAATGACAGAAACAGAGCTTCCATAATGCCTTCCTGATCAGCTAATTAATGATTCATTCCCAGTGTGTCTCCTTAAAGGCAGTTAATTTAAAAATAAATTCCTGCCCTACTACCACATGGATGGACGTGGTATTGATATAATGGATATCTGAGGAGCTCACAGCTGCATCTGTATGTAGATAACTCCATGAACTCACTGTGATGTCCCTGCTAGCAGGTTCTGAGATCTTGACGTCCCGTCCCTCGACTCCCAGGTGGCCCTTGGACATACTCGACCCGGCCACAGCGGTGTATTCACCAGCGTCAGAGAGGCGCACCGAGGGCACAACGAGACGGTGCACAAATTTATCTGAGGTCATCTTGTACCTGCAGGAGACACAGGAGGTGAGGTTCACCATCATCACAACATGGGTAGAATCGGTTAAAGTGTTTCTACGAGCTGCTCTACCTGTCGGACATCTCCAGCTCCTGACCATCCTTCATCCACATCACCTGGACGTTCGGTTCAGACACCTCACACTCGAAAGTCGCCCTCTTCTTCTCTGTGATCTTCAGGTCCTTCAGGTGTTTGGTGAATTCAACCACACGTGCTGCAGGGGAAGAGAAACAAAGTGAATGAAACGTACATCGATCAGGAAGTTGGACCTCAACATGGAACCAAATCACAAACAACAACCCAGTCTCCAGAACGTCCTGAAGCAGGTTCTAGGGAATATCCTCCACCCTCTCATCCCCACTCTCACCCCAATCACGCCAGGCAGATGGCCGTCTTCCCTGAGCCTGGTTCTGTCAGAGGTTTTGGGTTTTTCTTCCTCCCACAGTCACTGACTGCTGGCTCACTGGGAATCCTGAGGCAACTCTGAATTGTTGGCTTCTCTGTTCTCTGTTTAAACTCCTAAGGTCTTCACCTACTATGTGAAGTGCTATGAGAGGACATATGTTGTGAATTGGTGCTATATAAATACAGTTTAATGGAATCCTGTATCTAGCAGTCAGTCAGGAGGGTCTTTATGTCCCTTAGGAGTCTATCGGGGTCGTATAAGGGATACCAGTGGTTATGTGGGAGGTTCTAGGGTACACCATATCAAATAGTCCAACAGGAGGTTTGCTTGATAAGGTTCTAGTTATTGTTTTAGGTGTTATTTATCATTTGGAGACATTAGCCCTCAATGCTGAGGTTCTCCAACAACAGTTAGGTTCTAGTAGCCACTGGGGAGTTTCTAAATGTCAACTAGGAGGATCTGGGGTTCTGTACATGATTCTAGTGGTTATTATGGAGGTTCTGGGAGGTAGTAGGAGTCCTTTTGGGAGTTCTAGTGGTGACAGGAAGGATGTATTTGTGACTTAGTGGCCATTAAAGACGTTTGATTGGTCATTTGTGGAGAATCTGAAAGTCCTTGAAGAAGTTCTAGGAGTCCCCTAAATGGTCACAGCAAAGGTTACAGGGACCGTAAGCTGTTCCAGCAGTTATCAACCATGTTCTTGTTGTGAGAGCAACATGATGTATGTCCAGGGGAAGTTCTAGTGGTCACTGATGAGGTGACTGTTGTCACTAAAACACTCTATTTGGCATTGGGGAAGCTGTAGAATCTTTCTGGAGGTCCTAGTGGTCTTTTAAGTGGTGAGGGAGTTAGTTCCAAACGTCTTTCATCCGGTTCTATCCTCAAACAGCAGACAGACACATTAAAGACTGCTGTCTGAATACGTTAGAACACCGTGATATTTTTCTCTCGCGCTGAGAGCTGAACAGAGCAAAAGGACATCTTACCCTCAACGTAGAGTTTGGCTGTAGTAACTGCAGAACCGGCCATGAAGGTGTACTCGGCGCTGTCTCCAAAGTGGACGTTCCTGATGCTCAGAGTGTGGCTGAGCTGTTTGCAGCGAGCCTGACATCTGTCCGTGGACCGGATCTCCACACCGTTCTTCAGCCATTTGTATGTGATGCTCTCGTAGTTGACGTTCACCTCAAACGTGACCGTGTCTTTCTCCTGAGCGTTCACGTTCTGCAGCATCGTTGTGATCATGATAGCTGGAAAACAGTCAAAGGTTAGTTCACTGAAGCTGTCCCCTCAGTGAAAAGTCTAAAGCAAAGGTGAAGGTGATTGAACTGTATTTTAAAAATCTGTGGCCTCAACTAATCCTTTAATAACTAAACAGCTCATTCGTCTTACGGCTGACGGTGAGCGTGGCCGACACTCGGTCGTTCCCGCAGACGAAGGTGTACTCTGCAGAGTCGTCCCTGCTGGTGTTCATTATCTTCAGCTGGTGCAGTTTTCCCTGAACCACGATCCTGAACTTCTCGCTCATCTCGATCTCCACGCCGTTCTTCAGCCAGGTGGACGGCACGTTGAAGTGAGACACTTCACACTCCAGCGTGGCCACCTGGGTCTCTGGGACCTCCACGCTCTTCAGCGGCCTGGTGACTCTCAGAGCTGAGGGGAAAATGTGAAGAGTGTCAGAATCCAAACACATCTGTTGCTGCTGAAGTGCTGCATGATGCGAACACTTACACTCCACGATGAGGCGAGCACTGCACTGCAGGTGGCCTATGATGGCAGTGTACTCGCCCTCTTTGCTGTTGTCCACGTCCTGGACGATCAGTTTGTGGGTCTTCTTCTCAGAGAGGATCCTGTAGTGCTCGTTGGGCTTCAGCTCGGTGTTTTTGAACATCCATTTCACTGGGATGTCATCCTCAGAGATGCCAACTTCAAATACAGCTGTTGCACCCAGCAGTGACGTCACATCTTTTGGCTTCTTCAGGATCTTGATGGCTGGAGGAATGTGTCCACAGTTAGAAAATGTTTTTAGGAATCTACAGGTCTCGTGTTGCTCAGGAATCAGCAGCATTTCCTAAAGCTGTGTTACTTACTCTCCACGTTCAGTCTGGCGTTAGCAGACAGTTTTCCCAGTTTGAAGGAGTAAACAGACTCATCGTGTGTGTTGCAGTTGTTGATCTTCAAGGTGTGGACCATGCCTTCAATGCTGATTTCGTATTTATCGCTGGGCTGGATCTCAACCCCGTTCTTAATCCACTGTGCTCCCCTCACGTTCTCGTGAGTCAGCTCCAGGCTGAACACAGCTTCCTGAGTCTGGACTACATTGAGGTTCTTCAGGGTCTTCTTCACCTTCACAGCTGTGGAGACAGTGATTAGGATTAGTCTTGTCCGGTTGATTTGTGCTACTTCTTGTGGACCACCAGGCCAATTTATATATATGTATATTTTTTTTATTGTATATTCTGTTTTCTGTGCCATCTCAGCCAGATCCAGGTGCGAAAAAGGAAAAACATTTCAAACTGGGCCTTCTCTGCTACTGAACACATTCATCCAGGATGGCTGTTTAGTTTGTAGCGTCAGGTTGAGCTTTCTAAGACACCACAGTGAGGACAATCAAAGAAGCACAGATTCAACTGATGAAAGGATTTCTTCATCTCAGATTTATATGTAATTCCATTTTATTAAGGACACAAAATTCTGTTTCAGTGTCTTGAAACAAACATCACTTTGATATCAGGGCTTCAATCAGATTGTGTCTGTTTCTATAGAGAAACCTGGACCTACCCTCAACCTTCAGGGTGGCGGAGGTCTTGGAGGTGGCAACCTGGTAGGTGTACTCTCCGATGTCGGTGCCTTTGGTGATGACAATGACCAGACGTCTCACAGCGGCGTCCACCTCACTCCGCACGTTCTCGCTGTAGTCGACCGGCTGGCCATCTTTCAGCCACCTGCCCTCTGCAGATGGGTTGGCAACTTCGCACTCCAGCACAGCGGTCTGGGAGTCGGCTACCACCAGATCACGCAGCGGCCTCTTGATGGCGCCACCTGGTGAAGCAGACAGTCAGTTAGTGCTTGGTGACAGAAACCATCTCTCAGACTTGTGAAGGTGTTGAAGCTTCAGCGTACCTGTTACGGTGAGCGTGGCACTGCACATCTTCTCACCAGCGGCGAACATGTACTCTCCCTCTTCATCCTTCATTGCGTTCATGACTGTCAGGGTGTGGCGCTTGTTCTTGGACTCCATCTTGTGATTGGCGCCGGCTTTGAGCGGCTGCCTCTTGAAGGTCCAGAAGGCGTCAATGCCCGGGTGAGAAACCTCAACCTCAAAGGTGACGTTCTCTGACTCGGAGCACTCTTTGTCCTTCATTGGAGTCACGATCTGGACGGCTGTAGAGACGGAACACAGGTTAAGAGAGAACTGATGGCTGGCTAGCTTCCTTTCATGTTTACATTGATTATCAATCAGAAAGATTTGTTTAATCTGGGTCACAGTAAATGTGATAATGACTGTGTCCAGCAGATGGCGCTGGATCGGTTCTGTTCAGGGCTGGAGGAGGTCAGTGCCAGGCTATATCCAGTGTAGTGCTGCAGTGTGATATTCAGGTCATGTTCAGGTCAACTTAACAAGTTCTTGTGTCATGAACTGTCGACTGAACTTTCAGTCTTCATATAAACTGGGTTTCAGGTTCATGGAGTGTTGTGGGTCTCCTCCCAGCTGAGGCCCCAAGAGGAAGTCATCCCGGAGGATCATAATCAGATCCGGATGCCTTCCAGGTCAGCTCCTCCTTCACCATAACAGTCCACACAACGCCTGCATAGCGCATGCCTTGATCGTAGTATTTGCCGGTAAAACTTACGCTGAACAGTGAATTTGCAGGTGGTGTCGGCTCGGCCAACAACCAGCTTGTAGTGGCCCTCATCAGAGGCAAAGGTCCTGGTGAAGACCAGGCGCTGCTTGGCTCCTTTAGCCACCATCTGGATTCGTTCGCTGGACGTTATCAGTTTGTCGTTGTGGTACCATTTGACGGAGCTGATGTCCTGGGCGGAGATCTTGGCCTCCAGGACAGCCTTGGTGCCCTCAACAGCACTGGTGTCCTTCAGTGGGATTATAATACCGATAGCTGTAACACAGGATAAAAGGTTTTGTTAGTGACGTTTTGTTTGGGAAGTAAGCAAATTCAGAAAGTCATGCATCCATGGTGACCTACTCTGAATGACCAGCTTTGCAGAGGTTGAGATCTCCTGAGCGGGAACCACGAAGGAGTACATGCCAAAGTCGTCCTTGCTGGTATCTTCGATCAGGAGTTTGTGGATTTGTTTGTCGATAACAATGTGCACACGGTTTGAGGCTGTGACGGGCTGCCCGTTCTTCATCCAGGTTCCTTCAACGTTCTCCTGGGAGAACTTCACCTCAAGCTGAGCGATGTCGCCCTCACAGACTGTCAGGTCTGTCAAAGGCTGCATCAGGGTCACCGGGCGCACTGAAACATGAGGACAAACTTGATCAGTACTGTATGCAAGCAGAATAAAGTTAGGGTACTGTTCCTTAGAGGCTGCAGAGACCACTACGTGAAACACCAAAAGTTCAGATGTTCCTTGAGCCGTTGCGTGCAACAAGAAAGCTCATGAAATGGACACATTTCATGTCTTTCTCAGTGGCAAACTAGAATCTCCAAGCTCACTGTGTAGCTTATAGAACTTCCATAACTCACACTTCATCTTCAGGGAGGCGCTGGTCTTGAACTCGCCCACTGTGAAGGTGTATTTTCCCTGGTCTTCCTTCTTCACGTCTTTCACAGACAGAGTGTGTCTTCCACGGCGGGAGGACATGACGTATTTACTGCTCGGAGACAGCAGCTTCTCTCCAAAGAACCAGCTGCCATCAGCGTCCTCACGAGACACGACACATTCAAACTCTCCAGAGTATGTCTCAGGCACCTCAGTGCTCTCCAGCTGCTTCAGGATCTCCAGAGGAGCTCCTGTTGGTCAAACAATACACATGGAACATCAACAACGGCGGTTCTAGTCAATCACACACTTACAGTGGGACATACTGACAAAATATGCTGTCTTTTTTTGTTTTGGTCTTTCAGCTTTATTCGACAGGCGAGTGGAGAGAGAAAGACAGGAAACTAGAGAGAAGAGTAGGTGAAGGACCTGCAGCAAAGGGTCACAGGCCAGATTCAAACCCGTGGCTGCTGCCTCGGGGACTTCAGCCCTGTTTATGGGTCGCCCACTCAGCCCACTGAGCTACCAGGGTGCCCAGTATGTCTATTTATACGTTTCACAAGACTTTCTGACCCGTTCTATCACCATAAGACCTAAAAAATCCATGTTACAGTTTTCTGAAAAAGAAATGGAAAATGTGGGTATCTTGGAGGCCCAGTTTGTTACTAATAAGGGAAATGAAGGAAGTGTGGAGTAGCTGCTTCCTTACTTTTAAACTGATGAGTTTCTGCTGCCACTGATACTACAGGTACAGCTCAGCTCGCATGCAGCAGAAACACTGGTATCTACTGAAGCAGATCTATAAGGCACTGCAGTGCAAAGTTAACAGTTTTCTTTTGTCTTTATAGGGAAATTTTTCCACTTATTTAACTCATAATGTCCTATTTTTCCTCACTGTAATTTAAAAATAAATATCAGGTAATTTTGAGAAAAGTATCTGGATAATATGTGAGTGTAAAAGACCGATACAAAGCGAGGACTAGCAGCTTACAGGAACCTTGTCAGCACCATTCATTTTGATGTTGGGTTATTCTGTAGCATGAACCAACCCACCTTCCACAGTGAGCATGGCACTCGTCCTGATGTTCTCATCCTCTATAACCACGCAGGAATATTCTGCATCGTCCTTCATGCCGATCACCAGCACAGACAAGAAGTGGACCTTTCTGTCAGAGTGCATTCTATATTTGTCTCCAGAGAAGATCTCCATGTTGCCCTTCAACCATTTGACCTTCACGAAAGGCTCGTTGGTTTCACACTCAAAAGTAGCCATGGTGTCCTTCTCCTTGGCATTGACGCCCTCCAGCTTCTGTGTGAAGGTGATGACTTGCTTTGCTGCAGAAATGACAATAAAACCTTCGTTAGAAAATACACAATTCAAAACCAAGTTCCCCGTTCTAAAATCCAGAGAAGCGTTACCTTGAACCAGCAGGAAGGCGTGGCTGGAAGTCTCTCCGGCTTTGCTCGAGGCTTTGACCATGACACTAGCAGAATCCTCGGCTGTCACATCCTTGATCACCAGCTCACAAACATGATCTTCAGGCCAGTACCAGTAAACACGGTCCGACTTCTCCAGCTGAACACCGTTCTTGAACCACTGGCACTCCGGTTCTGGTCTGCCAACGACTCTGACTCTGAACTTGACTTCTTCGCCCTGAGCGACTGTCTGGCTGGTAATGCGCTCCAGGATCTTCGGCGCCTCCATGCTGGCTGACAGCTTGATTCTCTCTGGTTTTAGGGGTTTAGCAGTGACTTTGCGGCTTTCCTCCTCCTTCTTCTTCTCAGCCTCCTCCTTTTCCTTGGCGCGATGAAGCAGGTCTTCCTTAGTCTTCTTCAGCAGATCTTCATAGGAGTCGTCCCTCTTACGAGACTTGAGCTCCACAGCAGTGATGGACTCGTAGTAGCCCTCCTCTGTCCTGCGTTTGAACTTGCCCCTCAGCTCCTCCGACTCCTCTGTGGCTTTCTCATGGACGATCCTCTGGGCCTTCTTGAGCTTGACCACCTCTTTCAGCTGAGAGTCATCTGCAGGTTTCTCCACCTTCACAACCTCAAATGGTGTTTTTCCAGGTTCAGGTGCAGCCTCAGCTGCCTTAGCCTCAGGGGCTCGGCGCAGGTGAGTCCTGAAGTCTTCCTTCTGTTGAATCTCCAGCTTCACGATATGCTCAGCTGAGCCCAGGTTGTTGTCTGCCACCACTTTGACCTCTCCAGCATCGTAGGATTTGATTTCAATGATCTCCAGATAGTAGATACCATCATATCTAAGTCTGTATCTCTTGCTTTTGCGGATCAGTTGTCCGTTCAGGTACCAGTTGACCTTGGGTGCGGGATAACCGGTCACTCTGCAGCGGAATCGGGCTGTTTCGCCCTCCAAGACGCTGACTGGTTCAGGAAGAAGCACAATTTCTGGCTTCATTTTCTCAGTTTCTTCTTCAGCAGTGACTCCATACGGTCCCCCTTCATGAGCCATGCGCTCCATCTCATCGATTCGGTGAGCTCCCTTCCTGCCTTCAGGGAGCTGGGTTTCCTCAACAAGCCCCTTCTCATCTTTGACGATCAGGGTGGCAGAGGTCTGGTCGACTCCGTACTTGTTGGTAGCTCTGCAGGTGATGACGCCGCTGTCTCTGGCGTAAGCGACTTCATAGTCGAGGCTGCAGTAGCCAAATTCATTGACCATGCGCAGCCTGTTGGCAGCAGCCAGAGGTTTGCCGTCATGCAGCCACTCCACCACCATGGTGGGGTCGCCAATAGGAGTCAGTCTGCACTCGAAATGAGCCGGACCAAAGCGCTTCATGCGGACGGAGGTCAGCTTCTTCTTGAACTGTGGTTTCTGCTGCTTCTCTTTGTCGTAGAGGTCGCCCTCCTCCCACTGCTCCTGACCATATCTCAGATGAAGAGGCTCCACTTCAGGAGGAGCGATCTCTTTGGCTTTGTAGGTTCCTTTGGGGATAATGAGCTTCCTCTCTGGCTCAGGCTCAACATATTCCACCTCCACATTGACTCTGCAGCGGGTGGTGTCTCTGCCAGCCTTGTTGATGGCTGTGGCGGTGTACCAGGCGCTGTCTGAGCCAGCTGCTGAGGGGATCTGGAATTTGGCCTCGCCCCTGGTTCCTTCGATCCTGGAAGGTGAGGTTCTTAGATTAGAACAACTTTAACATTGGAAATATAGTTTTTAACACAATAAAGAATTCACTTGTTGTGAGGAACACTTTCATTCTGAGGTAGAATAAGAGATCATCAGAATTTCCTTTCAGAAACAGGACTTTATGGTTTAGCTTAGCTTTAAAGTTATCTTCATGTATTTGACTCAGTTGATGAACAACAAGGGAGTGACATGATTACGGTCTCACACGGGAATAAAGGAAGCTGAGTATTAACAATGATTAAAGCAGCTACAAGCTTGTGTAGTTGCAGTTAAATCTTTATTGTATAAACACAAAAGAGCTCCACAGTGTTGAAGTACCAGAGGTATACATCATAAATACTGCTAATGCAAGACATACTTGATGTTTGGGTGTTTGTGAGGGGTGACGATGTCACTGTTTTTCAGCCAGACGATATCAGGCAGGGGGTTTCCGATGGCTTTGACAGCCAGTTCTACCAGAGTTCCCTGCTTCACACTGATGTTCTTGAGCTTCTCAGTGAACTGTGGACGCACCAGTGTCTCTTTAGCTGAAAAAAGATAAACATCGAAGTATCATAAGTATTCTGTTTGACAAGAGATGCAGCAGAGTTCACAGAAACTGTAAGGGAGAGTTGCAACCTTACCATCGACGGTGAGAGTGACGGAGAGGGATGAGCGTCCGGCTCTGTTCTGAGCCACAACGGTCCATTCTCCAGAGTCCTGTGGCAGAGCTGGGACGATGATCAGGGACTGAGTACCGTCCTCTTTAACCACTATCTTGTGGGTGTAGTCGCTAACCACTTGCTGGCCTGCAAAAATGATGGATCTGGATTACTGTCAGATCAACAACTATTGAAGAACAACCTTAATGGAGAGCTAAAGCTAAAATCTAGTTTATTAACATCACAGATTTAAAACAACCCAAAAGATGAGCAATAAATCCAAACAGAATAATTACTTGTAAAAGCAATAAATGTAAAATACTAAAACACAAGACAGAACAAGATAATAGCTTGTAGGATCAATTTCTAAAAGAAAATAAATATGAATATGTTGAGACCACTAAGAGCAACCAAAAGCCTTTTAAAAAGCCCATCTTGAGAGGTGTCATTGAATGAAGGACATTCGAGGCCTATTGCAAAGTTCTGGAGCTGCCACAGACATCCTGATCATAGGACGGTTAAAGCAGCTGTTCTGATGCTCTAAGAGGCCTGGAGGCGGAGCAGGAGCAGAGAAGTTCTGGTTCCAGCCTGTGCAGGCCTTTATAAACAAAGGAGAATCTGTTCTGTATCATCTATGTTTCTCTTACCGTTGTGGAACCAGTACGTGTCGGGCATCGGTCTGCCAACGACCTTCAGGTCGAACCTGGCGGTTTGTCCTTCAGAGCATTTACATGAGGAAGGCTTCATGACAAAAACAGGTTTGTAGAGTCTTTCCAGCTGAGCCTCGTCGGTCTCGTCGAGCCGGCGAGCAGGAGAACGTCCAGGAGATCGGCTGGGAGAACGTCCAGGTGAGCGGCTCAGAGAACGAGGAGATGTGGACCTAGAGAAGAGGCAGCGTCATCAGCATCAAGGTGATGAGGTGGCAGTAAAGCGCTAGGTCGTCTGGTAGCCGCTCAGTGTCAAACTAAAGTCTGTTTTTATGATGTAAAGGTGAACTTGGGAAACGGTTTTCTACTTACACATCTAACAGTTAAACCGAGACAGCTGTGTTCCTGGTAAATGTTCTGTACCGACTCAGAGGAAAATATCTGCAGCTGCAAAAGCTTCACTATGTGTCCAGGGATAGCTCTCTATGGGTTCATCAACCCCTTTCACAAATCCATAGTCATATAAAAATATGAACAGTAACGGCTTTAACGCCTTCTCATGTTTCTGTCCTGACTGGTGTTGGTGGGAACTCCTACCTGATCCTCTGCATTGCCGGCTGTGGAGTGTATCTCTGAGGGGTTACTGCTCCGGATGGCTCTACGTAGAGCTTCCCAGAACTGATGGCGTTTCCCTTCATGTTGGTGGCGAAGGCGGTGTACACGCCTTCATCCTCCGGCAGCAGAGCGGGCAGACGCAGGCTGGCTCGTCCATCCTGAAGGACCTCCATCTGGTAACGGTCTCCAGCCCTGATGCGCTGGCCGTCTTTGTACCAAGCAATCTGCCAGAAGGTACAACGTCATCATTAAACCTTTCTGGATTCATAGCTCTAAACTCCATGAACATCATCAAAGACTCCTCACCTTGGGCAGCGGCACTCCAGCCATCTTGCAGTGGAAAGTGACGCCCATTCCTGCCATGATCCTGTAGTTTTTGACGGGAGTGTCGAAGGCCGGCTGCTCCGCCTCGGTGGCGCTGACGGACACCATCAGCTCTCCGTCTTCTGTCACTATCTCTTTGTATGTGATCTTCATGATGTTGTTCTCAATCTCCTGGATGATCCTCTGCTCAATGGCAGACAGATGGAACTCCTGCAGATTTGAGAACACGTCATAGCACTGCCAAGTCACAGTCAGCTGAATGGTAATGATCACCAAAGAAGCCCAAGAAAGGCAACAGAGACGTTTTAAAGGTCATGAGTGCGAGTGGTGATCAAGAAGTTCTGAGACTGTTTGTGAACACAGAGTCTGTCGCAGTCAGCGGTCAGTCAGGTGTCTCTGATTCCAGATGTTTCTATAACGTCAGTGATGATCCATCTTCACGTGGAGGATCGCCATGGTGACCAGAGGAGGATCTGTGGTTACCATGGTTACCACCCAAAAACCAAAGGGCAGCTTAACAGTGGAAGAACCAGAGAAGGAGGTCAGGAGCTGCTGCTGTTGGGAAACTGTTTGGTCATTTTGGACAAGTTTTGAGTCAGTTTAAACAATTTTAGTGGTAATTTTGGACACATTTGTTTGTTTTCTTCGGCATCCACTTGGCTGCTGCCGTACAGTCGTCCTGAGGAGTCTGAGGGAGAACATTCAAAGCTTGAACTGTGGTGTGTAGTCGTGGTGGTGCTCCATCGTGTCCACAACAACACAATCATCGCTCTCCATCCTCCTACACTCCAGGTTTGTCTCCCTGTGATGTTGTTTTCTTCTTTAAATTAAATTCTAGTTGAAGTTTTTCTGTTTGGACTCAGTTCAGGAGATTAATCACAGCTGGAGCTGACATGTTTCCAGATCAGGACTTCCAGGGAGAGGTAAAGTGTTGCAGGAGCTCTGGGAGCAGAGCAGCTTTGCACATGGAGACGCTTCCTCAAAGACAGAGGCTTCAAATGAAATTAGGTTTTCATTTCTAAAGAAGCAGTCTCAGAACTTTTTGATCACATCCTGTAAAGTTATAGATGTTTTTACTGATGCCTTACAGTAGGCCCTGACAGATTAAATGCATTGTTTCCCCTCAGCTTTTTTTTTTTTTTTTTTTGAAGATAGCACATTTGAAGGTACATAAAGGTTCTACGAAGGCTGGACTACCAATCAGCGAAGGCAGGAACCCAACCAAGAAACACAAACGCCCCACAAACATTCAGTCTGTTGTCATTTGTTGGACTAAATTCAATCACAATACCAATTAAAAAAGGCTGTGAGCACAAACAAAAAATGTGAGCCTGAGTTCTGATGCTCCCACCTGTCCGGAGATGATGGTGGTGGTCAGCAGCTCCACGGGGGGAACATCTCCCACTCTGGGCTCTGTCACCACGGCTGTCACTTCAGTCTTAAAGGTCGCTTCTTGTTTCTTCATGTAGGCTTCATATTCCTCTGTTAGCAAAACACAGCGGCACAGCATCGTTTTATTTCATCTCTTTGAAACCTAATGAAGGTCTGTGAGGTTGGATGGTTAATTATTTCCACAGCAGTCTCCTGGTTCATGCCGCTGTAGGCCTGGTTTACCTCTCTTTAATCTCCTTCTTGTGTCTTACTTCATTGGGTTTAGGTTTGTGTTGGTGCAGTGTTTGTCGTCATACCTTCCTCCAGCAGACTGGCGGAGGCTGAAACTTCTCCCAGCTGGTTCTTGGCAAAGACGGAGTACTCTCCGGCATCATCAGCGAAGGTCATGGAGATCTCCAACCTGCACTCTCCAGTCTCCTTCTTGTAGGCAACTTTATATCTGAAGGACAGCACAGGGAACTGAGTGACGATGCACAATACAGACAAACGGCAGCCGGACCTTCCTGCGTTCTGAATCATTTCAAAATAAACCCTGAGGACGATAGAAATCTGAGCACAGTGTTGAGGTACCTGTATCCGGTGGTGAGCGGCACGCCGCTCTTCTTCCAGATGATGTGAGGTTTGGGGCTTCCGCCCACCTGACATTCGAACACGACGCTTCCTCCCTCCACCAGCTTCTGGACGGTGGGCGTCTTGATGAAGAAGGGAGCAGCAGCAGCAGTGTCGGACTCCACTGTGGTCACCTCCTCTCTGGCTTCTTCAGTCACTCTGGAAACACAAATCTGTTTTCAGGGCTTTCTGGAACAAGCCGCGTTGCTTCACACCTCCAGGTTCAATAAACTAGAAACAAAGAATCACTCTCAGTTGATCATCATGCTTTGAACAACTCTGATCGACTCACAGTTTCTCGTGAGCAGGTTCAACCTGTTCAGGGGCTGCGACCTCCTCCCTGCTCTCGATGTCTTCAGACACTGAAGGACAAAGATGGAGAGTCTCAGTCAGAAGGACTCCTGAGGAAACCATCGACCTACTTTGGAGGCTTTAGGCTGTTTGAGCAACAATATGTCAGAAACTATTAAAGAAAAAAGACTTTTTCACTGATATTTCTCATCATGACATTGACTTAATAAATCGATCTAACGTTTCTCAGATACCAATTAGATCTCCAGAGTTCATGATAGAACAGTTTTAAGAAGACCAGAGACGGTCGAGCAGAAGGACTCTGATGATCTGAGAAGGAAGAATTGATAGTAGGAAACAGATTCAGTGTTCGGCCCTGCTGCGTTGTGTTGCTGTTGTGTTGTCCAGGTGTCCACACTGACCCTGGACCAGCAGGTAGCAGGAGGTGCTGACGGTTCCCGCCTCGCTGGTGGCTGTGCAGGTGAAGCGGCCGCTGTCTTCGGCGAACGCCTCGCGGATCACCAGCCGGGCGAATCCGCTCTGGTAGCTGATCTGGAAGTCGATGGAGCTCTCGATCTTGTAGTCCTCCCTGAACCACATGACGACGGGGGCCGGCTGACCGCTGATCTGGCACTCCAGCGTCACCGACTCGCCTTCGGTCACGTTCGTGTTCTTCAGGCCCTGAAAGGAAACAGCGGCGTCAGAACCCTCGCTCTACCACCGTGGGTCCACTGTGTGATGTGAGGAGATGCTTACCGACACCAGTGTGGGCGGGACCACAGCGCCACCTGCAGACGGCACGGCGGCTGCCTCCATCACCTGCTGCACAATCACACAACTGTTAGAACCCCCGACAACACCGCAAACACACAAGACTGTGAATTTCTGCTGCACAGGCGATGAAGAGGAGACGACACAGAGACATGGAGGAAGGCTGGATGGAGTGAAGAGGTGAGGATGAGGAGGTCAGTAGCTTCGACGAGCACGTTACAGAGTTTATTAGAGGGATGTTTAACCCTGGATTCTCACAGAAATCAAGAAAACCGGACTTCTGAAGAACTAGAGGAGTGTATCAGTGGAAATAAAGAAGTGCAGTGTGAAGCTTTAATCTGAATGTGAAGGGCTGGTCCTGGGGCAGCAGGATCTGATGCTTGCTGAGGATGTTCTGGCAGCGAGGCCCGTTAACTGTATGAACATGTCAGAGCTTCTGCTCAGTGTCTGCTGAGTCACAAACACACTCTTTATTTCCACATCAGGTTTTCTTGTCCTGCTCACATCCAGCTCACTGCACAGACTACAAACCTGAGCTCCCCAGTGCTCATACATTCTGTCCGAGCGCACCGTCTGAAACTCAAAACCGCTCTGATATTTCTCTGCAAAGCCTTTGAACGGCGGCGGGACGGACTCCATCGTCTCTCTGGTCTCGACTGCTGAGCGAGACGGACTCGGAGACTTGACGGACCTGGTGATCTTTCGAGTGACGGAGGAGGAGGAGGAGGAGGAGGAAAACTCTTTCTGCAGTGTGGCGATGGCCGAGCCGGCGATGGAAACCTGGCCGACCCAGAGAGGAGGAACAGCCACACCGTCATCAAGAACATTTGCTGCTTTTAGGTTTGTTAAAGCACAGCAGAGGAGGAGCTACGTTAGTTTATTATCACTACAGGCTCAGATGGAGGGAAGTTCCCACGGAGCTGGATTAATGCTGAACGCTGGATTAAAGGGGTGACTGATTAAGGGGATGGAGGAAAAGAATCACTTCTACACTACGATTCACAACACGTTTGCATTTCAGGCGAGCAGCAGTGACCGGGATTGGTCTAGATGTTGGTGTTCATGGTTATCACTTCATAAGACATCAGGTGACGTTAAAACGCCTCAAGTCTGACGAGACTGAAGCTGTGACCATAAAACTGGAGCCGCTGTTCTCAGCATTATCATGATGTGATGAAACCTCAGAGCTGGTAAAATACGATGACGTTTAAAACACATTTCTGATATTTCTGCTTCATCCTTTCATGATGAAGGTCATATTCAGTGAAGTCACAGCTGTCCCTGTTGTTCTTCAGCCTGCATTTGGACAGTCTGAGTCTGGATCAGCGTTACACAATCCAATACTGACTTTTAAAAAACAGGCTCAAAAGTTAGATGGATTATCTAATCCTGGATCTTTACAAATTAACATGAAGTGAACACTGGAGCTCAAAGCTGCACAGTGAGCTGAAGAACTGCTCGATGAGCAGGTGAGCTACAGCCGTCCGTTAGAGGTGAACCTGGACCTGTGTCAGTGTGTGTTTTGGGTTCTGCTGGTTCTGTGCAGGTCGTGTTCTACTGCTTGCCTGATGCTGCCTCTCTTACCTCGCAGCTAGACTCGGGTTTTGGGACAGAAACTTTAGAAACCATGAAATGTGGAACTGGAGACGGGCTGAGACCAGTGTCCACACGGGAGGAGGTTTCTGTCGCTCTCTGAATCTGAAGCACCAACAGAGTTCACAGCAGCGTTACAACCTCAGAGCTGGAGAACATGGACCAATCTGCAGGAGCTCTGGTTCCTACCAAGAGGTTTGTCCTTCAGACTGATCTGTTTGGAGGATTTGTCCTAGAGCCCTGGAGGTCCACTGTCTTTGTTTACATGAGTTTTAAGATTTAATGTGAGTGAACCTGCAGGACTCTTCTTGAACAGTCTGTTTTCGTCTTTTAGAAAACCATCGTCATCATTAATCCTGATCCTGCTGATTTAAAACCCAACAGAGCAGCAGTAAAAGCACCATTCGGACCTGGTCTGGTGAGAACAAGTGACGATGGATCTGGTCCTGTGGTCAAACCTCTTGGTAACCAGGTGTTCCGTGGAGCCCGTCTACCTGAGGCTGCAGGGCTGCTTCAGAAGTGAAGCTCTGAGCAGTGAGCGTTTGTCCGGCCTGCACTCGCGTTGACGTCCAGCTGAGTCCGTGCTGCTGCCTGAACTCTACAGCCTCCACCTCCTCCTCTTCGGCTCGACCGCCCTCCACATGCACCGGCTGGCGGACCCGAGCCAGGTCGACGGCGGCCACCACCGTGGCCACCGCCCCGGCTCTTTTCCCTCCCCCAGCCTGGAGACACAAGCAGCAGCACATAGATCTGAAGACATCCATGGCAGGACGGAGGTGAAGAAGCAGGCGGGCGGTCGAGGAGGCTTTATGATCAGTCATCCTGTTTCTGTCACTTTAGACGCAATTTCAGTTTATCTGTTGTTTTGGACCTAAATCTCAGTTTTAAGAATTTTCAGTGGAGCAACATAAGTTCTGAATTCTGGAGAACAGTTGGCCCAAAGTTCTGACTTCAGACGTCCAACTGACTGATTATAGAAAACGTGCCATTTAAAGTCATTCATGACTGTGGAGATGAAAGTGTTTTATGAGCACCGACCCTCGACACCCACCTGCTTCTGTAAAACATCACCACTGAATGAGTTCATGGACACCAGCATCACCTGAAGCTCCAACAGGAAGCAGAAACTCCTGAGCTGAGCTTCCAGGATGCTGGTGTGATGTCCGTACATCGGCTCCGTCATGCAGTAAAATCAGCTCAACATGAACAAATACGACTGGAAGAGAAAAGTGAAGCTACAATCTGGAGGCCACAGGATCAAATAAGAAGGTGGAGCAGCTGTCAGGCTTCCAGATATCTGCCGACATAGAGATGGTGGTACCAGAACTCCTCTGGAGGAGTTTCAGACACAGCAGCGGAGTCTGACAGCCTCTTCAGGGGAATCAGTTGTTTGAACCAGGAGATGAATCAATGAGGGTGAAGACGGAGGACGGGCCTCACAGGCCGATGGACCGGACCTCGGTTCCTTCGTTGAGCTGCTGTTGGTTTCTTCATCCATCTCAGTCTGAACTCGGCTTTCCAACGAGTCTCCAGGTTCTCGATCTTCATCTTGTCATAAAATCTTCCAGCAGATGAATCATAATGAAAGAAGTCACGTGACCGTGTCGACCCGTCCGTTGACGTTCCGGGTCACAGTGGTTCTGAGTCCGTGTGGACGGTTTGAGGCCGAAAACCAGACCAGAGGATTAAAGTGTTCGGCTGCTGAGTGACAACAGGATTGAAGAGAAACGTAAAAAAGAAAGAGTGGAACAAACCACGGAGGCAGAACATGGCGGACCAGACTGTGAGGGATTCTGGGTAATCTGGAGATGGCATTCACCGTGTTTCCACCCAGACCTGGAGTCTTTTAGACCTTCTCGGACCTGAATACTGGTACAGTGGACCTGTTGGACCCCTCCCCAAGCTTCCCCTTCCTCACCTCTTTGGCCTCCAGCAGGGCCACGCCCCCTTCAGGTACGTCTCCCTGCTTCCACGGCGGACGGATGTCGGCGCCGGCGGGCGACTGCTTGCGTGTGGTGACTGGTGACTTAACGGGCCTGAAGAAGGACATGAAGACGTCCCACCATGAACACTCTCCAAGCTGCACTGATCAGGTTATTGATTGTGGATGTCCACCCACCTGACAGGTGTGGGCGTGGGCGCCTTCACGTGTCTGACAGGTGAAGGTGACTGTTGGCGTCCTGCCGCCACCTTGGCGGCCAGCGACGGCTGCGTCGGTGACTTGGACGTGGGTTTGGGGGGAACTCTGGGCGGAGTCTTGCGAGCGAGCTGCTCGGCACCGTCAGCCGGCATCTCCATCTGAGGACAGACAAGATGAAAATAAATACGTTTTTTATCTGACGTGAAGAAAACACAGGAGGGCAGATGGAAGGTCTGTTTATGCTACGATCCAGCTCCAGCCGTTGGTTTCATCAATACGAACAATTGACAAAAATGAGGCTTTAACAACAAAATGATCTTGCAAAACTCTAATGACCTCTAGAGGGCGCCGGCTGTGGCCTGACTGCTGTTTCCTACCTTGTCTCCTCGGGGCTGTCGGTGGGGAATCACTGTCTTGGTTTTCTTTGCTGGAACAGCTTCTTCACCTGAAACAAAGTTCAGTTTGTGGGTCATTCTTCACCAAACTGATTAAAGCCATAAAACACAGAGAGGCAGCCGTCGGTCCTCACCCTGAACCAGCAGCTCGGCGGTGGACGTGGCCCGGCCGCTGCTGTTGGTGGCGGTGGCAGAATACGTCCCAGAATCCTCTGGGAAGGCCTCGGCGATCAGCAGGCTGTACAGGTCTCCGTCCTGGAGGATCCTGAAGTCAGCAGAGCTCTGGATCTCGGCTCCCTCTCTGTAGAACTTTACAACAGGTGTTGGGATTCCTGTGACTCGGACGTCCAGCCTCACCTGGCTGCCCTGTCTCACTGTGGACGTCTGCAGTCTCTGGACGAAGCTGGGAGGAGCCGTCTCCGCTGTGGAACCAGAACCAGAGTGAAACCAGCTGCAACACTGTCATTAAAGTCTACCTGTACTCACCTGGACTGTCTACTTGTGCTGGTCTACCTGTGCTGGTCTACCTGTGCTGGTCTACCTGTGCTGGTCTACCTGTGCTGGTCTACCTGTACTCTCTACCTGTGCTGGTCTACCTGTGCTGGTCTACCTGTGCTGATCTACCTGTGCTGGTCTACCTGTACTGGTCTACCTGTACTGTCTACCTGTACTGTCTACCTGTGCTGGTCTACCTGTACTGTCTACCTGTACTGTCTACCTGTGCTGGTCTACCTGTACTGGTCTACCTGTACTGTCTACCTGTACTGTCTACCTGTGCTGGTCTACCTGTACTGTCTACCTGTACTGGTCTACCTGTACTGGTCTACCTGTACTGTCTACCTGTACTGTCTACCTGT